TAGTTCATGGTTTTCAAAAGTTGTTGAAAAAACAATTATGCTCACTAATAATTAAACTTGACAATGGAAATTAATGTCTTTAACGTGATCCATATTAAACACAGAAATTCAAGCCTCATGGACCGTCCATGGTATTCTTGGGTAAAGGCTATCTTCATCATTTACAAGAACAAGAGTGGGCATTTACAAGGCATACCATTTATAAAAAAACTCTGGCATGAATTAATATCATACTAGTAGTATTTTCATTTTAAAGAATACTTATATACTTAATTTTATTTATTTAAAGTATATGTTTTTAATTAAATCAATTATTTATTTTATAAAAAATTAATATTATTAATATTTTAAGATCCACTTATTTTAATTTGATTGAAAAAATATATTAAGTATGTAAATATTTCTCTTTAACTCTTTTTTTTTTGGACATTATTAGATAAGGACAGTTATATCAATCAAGTTAACGATTGTAAGAAAAACATTTTTATTTGTATTCGTAATATATTGCTTTCAGTTTTATTTTATTTTTAATTAAATCAGATACGGTGACGGTCTTGCGGCATGTATGGTATATATAGGAATTCTAAATATATTAATTTATTAATTGGTAAGCTCAATAAGTGCTTTGTTGGACCCTTTTTATTTAAAGTTTCCAACATATACATAAGATGATAAGATCAAATTGAAGGCATAATTTCGACATACTAAGGTGAGCTTTAGTAAATTAAGACACTTTATGGTACGAATTAACGCTATAACAGGCTAGTATTGTTTTTGTTTTGAAGAAAATTTGGTTATTTAAAATACTTGTTTTCAATTAAATTAAAAAATATGAATGTTTTATATATTATTTATCTTATAATAAATTGTTATTAATATTTTAAGATATATTTGTTTTGATTTGATTGGAAAAAAATATATTAAATATATGAAACTAAATATGTAAGTTTCCTTTTACTTTTTTTGATATCGTTAGAGATAGGGACAGTTATACCAATCAAGTTAATATATTACTATAAGAAAAGCATTTCTATTTGCATTCGTAATATATATTTTTAATTAAATCTATAGGAGTTATAAATATACTAATTTATTAATTGGTAGGCTCAATAAAGTTTCCACCATGAATGAGATGATGATAAGATGGAATTGAAGACATAATTTCGACATAATTAGGTGAGATTTAGTAAATTAAGACACTTTAGGGTATGAATTTGAGGTTTAATATGAATTTATTGAGGTAACATGACAACATTGTGTCCTCATATGCACAAAGTTGATTACATCCATCAACTTTTTTATGTGCAAGACATGTTTCTTCCACTGCCTCCTCTTCTCTCTCATCTTTTCTACTTTTCTTGCCCTCCGTTGCTTCTTGAATCTCAGCATATATTGCACTCATCAATTGACTCACTAGTACATATTTTGGTTTTCTCAAGTGACTTTTACATCACTTACAATACAAATGATGTAGAAAGTTAAAAAGGCTTCAATTTTATAATATTGAACTTGTTTGTTGGATTTTCTATACCGATTGTTTAAAGAATCAATTAGAAAGTGTACAAATTTTTTTAAAATTATACAACATTTCAAACAATAAACTACTTGTTAAGACTAAAAATTCAAATCAGAAATCATATAATCAATATATCAATATAATAGTAAAATAACAATGTTGTCACATATTGATAATTGTAGAGTAAAGTCATCATTTTACTCATTATGTGCTAGACCCATTAGATATCACGAGCTAAACAAGCGAGTCTTTTTTTGTACGAACTAGTTAGATATGCTGAAAATTAAACTAGATTCATTAGGCTGATTCAGTGGATTGACCTACTTAGTTCGTCAGAACAAACTACTCCTTCCGTTTAAAAATATAAGATATTTTTAATCGAATTTCACTTTTCAATAAAGTAGTTATCTATTTTCAAATTAACCATATTTTTTTATATTTACCTCTATTATACATTCTATAATAAATATAAAGTCATTATCAATAGGGGTACTTTAAAAAAAAGATAATTATTACACCACAAAAGACTAAAATGTTTTATATTTCTTAACATCTGATTTCTTAAAAAATGTCTTATATTTTTTAACGTCAATTATAAATTCACACTAGATTTGATAGTGCTATGGCCACCATGGTAGTAGATTGGAAGTGAAAACTCAAACTTGATGGACAAGGTAACATGAGGAGATCATAATCGAAGAAGCACTCAAATTAGAATTAGAAGTTACAGCCAAAAAATAAATAAATAAATAAAGGTAGAGGTGATTAGAGACAACCTTGCACATTTTATAAATTCTTAAAAAAAAAATGACTTGGTCAACTCATTTAACTAGTAACTAGGTTTTCATCCAAAAAAAAAAAAACTAGTGTCTGGGTTAAATGGCCCATTCCAATAATGATGCTAAACATGTCAAGTCCCTTAATAAATTGACTTGTTATAACAATTTTATGTGATCTTATTAACTAGTTACTTCTAACATGATTCATAAGAATTAAATAAATTTTAAAACTCATTAACCCCTATTTAAATATTTAACATGCTTTTAACTTTACCCTAGAATTTAATGGGGATAAAAGGAGAAACTTTTAATAAAATTTTAATAATGCGATTTATAAATATGATAATAAAATTTACACTCTCTATCTTATGAATTTTTTTCTTATTAAAATTACTAATCATAATAAATCATTATCTAAAAATTCAAACCATAATAAATTAAGAAGAGATAAAATTTGGAAAAAATTTAATTACTTTAGTTTTGCCTTATTTAAGGACAGAAAAACTTCCAAAATTTGCATTTTATTAAGGAAAGGAATGAGTACCACCCCTTTAAAAAATGTGAAATTAGTTAATTTTGTCCCATAATTAAACCAGAAGGAGTATTATATATGCATATATAACTTAAGTTGCATTAATTCAACTACTATTATAGCATTAATATAACCAGGATACTTAAAAGAGAAAGAGTTAGGCAATGAATTAACTTTAATTAGGTCATGTTTGTTCAGTTATATTATTCATTGTTTTTAATAATTAGTCTTCAAGGCTTTCAGCATACTTCAACAGATCACATGCCCTCCTCAATGGCATTCCAAAATTTTTTATTATAATTAAATCAGATATGTGTTTCAGAACCTTTTACCCTATACTGCATTTTGTTTCAGTGGTTGTCATTCACTGTATAAGATTCTCACTCTATTGGCCTTTCATATAGGGCCTTTTTTATATATAAATTATTTTTATTCTTCCCCTTCCTCCTTTCTTTCTCTCTCACTCATACACAACCATTCATTAATGATCATGGATGCTATAAAAAATAAAAATTTATGTTCACATTGGACCCATATTAAAAATTGTATTTAGTACTTTATAGCATCATTTCATTTGTCGTTCCAGAGTGGCAGAATGCAATATATACTCCATCTGGTTTTTATTACAATAAACTATTAATTTTATTGCTTTACATAAATTGAGAAAGTCAGTTAAAATATACTCACTCTGGTCTTTAATTTAAGACAAAATTTGAAAGCTTTTTCTTTTGTCCTCAATAAAAGATGAATTTAAAGTAATTATTTTTTCCCAATTTTACCCCTTGTTTATTTATTGTTATTTGAATTCCTAAACAACAATTTATTATGGTTAAAATTGAAAAGTTACATATTTTTTTATAATTCCAAGGTTATAACCAACATTTTTTATAAGCACGAAATTAGCTAATTTTATTTTATATTAAGTACTGGGGTAGTAAATAATTGGTTGATGCTTTTAAAATTTTTAAACTTATGCTCAATGATATTTATTAATCAGATAAGTTTGTTTAATTAATTAGAAGGTTGTTCAAATAGTTAAGGAATATCAATATTAAGGAAAAAATTAATGTTTAGACAAAAAGTCTTATAGTAAGAATTATAAAAAATAGATTATAAAAAAATTATAAAAATTGTCTCATAAAAAAAATACAAAAGAGAGTAATTAGTGTACATAATGTTATGTCTCTATAGTTAATAAAATATGGTTTAAATTAGAAATATTCCGACATTGTGGATATTTAAATCGTGTTTTAGAAAGTTTAGACAAACGATATTTAAATTTACGTCATGTATATATGTATGTTTTTATCCAATATATATATATATATATATATGTCTGTTTGTATATGTAACATTTAAGTCTGGCCAATTTGTTTTATTAAAGAAAGTCCTTAGTTTGAGATTTAAATATCTAGAAGAGGATTTATAAATCATTACAAGATGAAAACTCCACACTTTATTTTTCACGAATTTAAAATGGACAAAAAATGAAGTTATAAAATTTGAAGAAATAATTTGAAAAATGGGGGAAAACAGCTTTAAATGGATCTGCAAAATTCAAAACCATGAAAGAAAAAACAAGTTGATATGTAAATTTTGAAATTTTACTTTAAATTTCATAAAGACTTATATATAAATTATAATTTCTAGAATATTAATAATTTAATAATAAATCTTCAACGTTACATGACTCCAGCGTCAGCAACAATGGTCCTACTAGTTTCTCTAATGCCCAACGAAACAACAGGACAAAGGTGAAGAAAAGGATTGGGCTAAAAAGAAGAAGAAGAGAGAGAGAGAGAGAGAGAGGAGGGGCAATTATGCCCTTTCACACAAATATCAAATGAGAATTAGGTTCTAAAGAATGTTTTAATTTATTAATTTCTTTAGTTTGGACCAAATTATCAGTTTCCCCATTATAATGTGTAAATATGTTATGACTTATGCAGAAATATTATGTCTTTTACCTTTTGTTTTAATAAAATTTGATTCTTTCATTAAAAAAAAAAAAGCAAAAATTTGGGATTAACAATTTAATATTATGTATTCTGATGTAACCTTAATTATACAGCTTTTTCCCTTTTCATTTTGTGACCATGCATTCAAATATTTATTTGACGGATCACACAAATTTTTGGCCTTTTAAATAACAACACTCTTGTGAATCCTTCTTCATAGACTCAGACTCACAGGGAAAAACCAAAACTTGCTTGCTTCGTTCCTAGCCATCCTTTCTCTCTCAATCAGAAAATGGCTACTTCTGAAACTCATCACTGCATCGTCTTCTTCCTCCTCCTCCTCCTCCTCCTCCCAGCAATGGCTTCCTGTGACTGCACATGCGATGCTGCCGAACAAAACGCCACTAAAAGCGACAACCCAAGCCAAACTCTAAAATTCAAAGTCGTCTCCATTGCTTCCGTCCTCGTCGCTGGAGCTCTTGGGGTTAGCCTCCCATTACTGAGCCGGAAAGTCCCATTTCTGAATCCCCAGAACGACGTGTTCTTCATGGTCAAAGCTTTCGCCGCCGGCGTTATTCTATCAACCGGCTTCGTCCATATCCTCCCAGACGCTTTCGAGACTCTCACTTCGCCCTGCTTGGACAAGGACGGCCCGTGGTCGAAATTCCCGTTCGCCGGCCTCATCGCCATGGCGGCTTCGGTGGCGACGTTAATGGTGGATTCGCTCGCCACAGGTTACTATGAGAAGCAACACTTCAATAACAACACAAAGCAGGTTTCTGCAGATCATGAATTAGAAGCAGGAAGTGAACATGATGGTCATGTTCATATGCACACTCATTCCACACATGGTCATGCTCATGGATCAGCTCATCATCATGATGTTGAGCTGATGATAACATCAAATGAAGTGATCCGACACCGTATCATATCACAGGTAATTAATTAATTGATTGAGAGTAATTAATTAACAAATTAATCATCAATTAATTAATGTTTTGTTAGTGAAGGTGTTGGAGTTGGGAATAGTGGTTCATTCAGTGATCATTGGGATATCGTTGGGAGCTGCACAGAGCCTTGAAACTATAAAGCCTCTTCTAGTGGCTCTTTCCTTTCATCAGTTTTTTGAGGGCATGGGTCTTGGTGGCTGCATATCTCAGGTACATATCTTTCGAATTTTATTTTATTTTTCCTTTTTCAATGGCTTATATAGTCATTTCCGTCTTATATATAAAGCGAAAAAGAATTTTTATGTTTAGCTTATAAATCATATCATTATTTTATTATTATTATTTTTTTATTTTACCCTCTATTAAATTTTGGTGGGGAAAATTACTCTCTCGTTCCAGTTTCTAATACAATTTTAAAAGTGATTTGATATTTTAAAATATAAGACATTTTAATAAAAATAATGTTTCATTAATTATACTTATTTTATATTACACTTCCTTCCTTATTATATTTTCTCTCTTTATTTAATTTTCACATATAAAGTTATATTAAATAAAGAGTGTTTTTAAAAATTTATATTTGTGTTTTAAAAAAATTATATTGTAAAGTGTATTTGATAATCTTATAGTGAGTAATTTTATCAAAAATTGTTTTATAAATTAGTATAAAAGAGTATATATGTTATAAAGGATGCATATTTAATAGAGATAAAACTATATAATTTTTTGGGCTAAGTTAGTGAGTTTTAAAATTTTACTTTATTTTGAAAATACGTGTGTTAGAAGTAACTTATAAATAGAATTAGAGCACTATATAAAAATTAAATTAATTAATAATGGCAAAATAGTCAAGTTTCATTTAATTTCCTATGGGGGTGTGGCCATTGATTCAACGACGGGTTACCTTACGTGTGTGTGTTTCATTTTGAGAGAGAGAAAAAGAGAGCACTAATTAATATTATATAAGGAATAAGAACCTGCTTTTGGATATAAAGTAATAAGGAGCTTTACTTGTTCATATATAAAGTGATTCCATGAATTAATGCAAATGTAAATATATATAACACATATAGTAATTAATAGCCATTCTCAATGGTCCTTAATGTAAGATCATTCATCTAAAAACATTACTTTTTTTATTAAAAAAATGTCCTTCACTTTAGTAGTATTTTCTAAATAACTAAACAATCTTCTCTAACCAATGAACTTCATTGAGGGTATAATTATGACATCTTAAAAACATTATTAACCAAAGCTAACTTAATCTGTCTTAATTGTTAATAAAGCATGTGTTGGTGATGATATGCATCAGGCGAAATTCAAGTCGACATCGACGGCGATAATGACAATATTTTTCTCACTAACAACGCCGATAGGGATAGCGATAGGAGTGGGGATATCGGGCATGAACAGAGAAGATGGCCCAAGAGGACTAATAGTAGAAGGAGTGTTCAACTCAGCATCAGCAGGAATTTTGATATACATGGCTTTGGTTGATCTTCTTGCTGCTGATTTCATGAACCCTAAGCTTCATTCCAACTTCAAGATCCACCTTGGAGCTCATCTCTCTCTTCTTCTTGGCATTGCTTCCATGTCCTTGCTGGCCATCTGGGCTTGAAATGAAAAAGAAAAAAATATTAATCACCAACAAAATAATTACAAGTTTTTTTCCACCTCTTTTAGGGACATTTTGAGAAAACTAATTCATGTACTTTTTGTTTTGTTAAATTTGAGTCTTTTACAAGTAATAATGTTCTTTTTAAGATCAATGCTTTGGATCATGTCTCAGTTTCTATCCAGATTGGCAGTTAATTTCATAGACAATATATAGATTTTTTTTTTAAAAAAAATCATTGACTTACTGTACTCCAGTTCTTTTTTTCTTTTTGGTGAATATTATACTCCAGTTCTTTATGCAGGTCTCATGCATCTTTAAGAAGAATTTCATGATTCTTTGAATGTTAATTAGTCACTTTTTCAAAAGTTTGTGAAATATTTATTGCTTTTTCTCAAATATACTCTCCTGAATTGAAATATACATGGGGTATATATTTTATAAATTTATGATATTTGCTAAGGGTAAATATGGAAACCAAAATCTTTTCTCAGCAATCTCAATGATATAATTAATTTTCTTAATTTAAATGAAATAATTGAAAATAAATATTTCCACAACCATAACATGAAAAAGGACAACGTAAAACAGGTTAAAAAGAGGGAGCATAGAGAGAGCCCCACTAACTCCTTAAGGTAAAAAAAAGGAGCGGGGGGGTTGGAAAATGACAACTAGGGAACACCCAAGGCCATTAATTATAGTAAGAGATTCTAAATTATTAAAATCTCAATAATAAATTATAGTTCCTGCTTGAAATTGAAAATATATATGAGTTTAAAATTTTTTCCTCTAATTAAAAAATAAAAAAAACACTGCTAAAATTAGCATCATGAAATGAGCAAAATATTGTCAATCTTAATTAAAAAACTTAAAAAAATAATAGTTGAAAATGGATTGTTTCTTAGTATGAAAGTAAAATTCTCTTTTAAAATTTTTTAAGGACATCTATGAATATATAATAATCACTTAAAAAATTATTAAAGTCACTTCTAAGAGGCATTTTAAACTATTCATATTTTTTTAAATTTCAAGTAAGGATCATGATTTATTATTGAGATTTTAATAATTTGGGATCTAATTGTAATTAATGACCTTAAGGGGTCCCTAATTGTCATTTTCCAAAAAATTGAACTCAGGAGTGATAACAAATTAATTAAAACTCTGAAGAGCAACCAACTTGTACTGTTGGTTTTAGTAGAAAAAACCATAATACTTTAAGCACAGTTTCAAATTTAAATTTGTGTTAATATAAGACACATTTTAAAAAGAATTTGGTCAAATTTAACTCGTTGTGCCTGATATCATATTATTAAATATTATTAAAAAGTTATGAATAGACGAATTAATTGAGAAATGGCTCATCCATAAGAATCAAATTGACAAAAAGCAGTTATATATATATATATATATATATAGAAGACTAAATTAAAAGGGAATAACTTATTTATAAATTATCAAAATAGCATATTGATAAATTCTTTGATCATAAATACGTGATATTTAGACATATAATTTTCTTTTGAAAAGAAAAGAGTCAATCAATGCATAATGTATAAGAAAAAAGAAAAACCCTTCATTGCTTTCATTAAACATTCCCACAATTTTTGTGTGTTCTAAAACTAATTAATTGCACCATACTCCCTCTATCCCCAATTATAAGAGATCTTTTAAAACATTTTTATTCCTAAATATAATAAGTTGTTAGTATATTTTTTAATGAATAAATTATTATACCCTTATTAAATTGGAAAGAGAAAAAGATAAATACTTTTATTAATTTGCTTTGAAAAAATATATTCATTTTTTACAATAATTAAAGGAAAAATCAAAATATTACTGTACTTTTAATTAGATAATTAAATTTTATTAATTTACATAATTCAATTAAAAAATCTTATATATAAAGACGTTTGGAGTAATTCTTTAAGAAACGCTGGCAAAGACCATATTTTTCTCAGTGGATTTTTTTTTTTTTTTGGTTGAAAGAACCTCTAGCAAAGCACATTTGTGGCATGTGTAAATCCTTTGGAGTTCTATTCGTCAAAGAACTCATCTTAAAATGATTGGGGAAAAAAAAAAAAAGGAACTCACCTTAAAATGTCAAATTCATTTTCCTAAAAATTGTCGACGACATTGAAAACAGGAAAAAACTTGCCAATGGTTAGTGGAAAAGCGTGGGTTCAGCAATAGGAGGTACTGGAAGCACTTGGCTTCGTCACTTTTTCAGAAATTTCTTTTTATTGTCTGCCAGATCCGTCGGATTTATTCGAATTGAAATTAAAATATTTAAATCTATAAAAAAATTTATATAATTAAACCTGACCTTAACACCTCTTATTTATTTGAGTTAGTTCAAATTTTTTAATTTTTAGATATTTTTTTATTTTTAGCAAATTTTAATTTTCATCTTAAAAATTAAGAATTTTTATTTCTTTATCTTACTTTTATTTTATTTTATTAACAATAGAAAAGATTTTGAGTACTTGGACAAAGCCCATTTAATATTACAGATACCCACGTCTACATGGATGGGCTGACCCATCGTCGCTCGCTTCATGCACACATTATACTCATCTGGTGTAAACCAATGGAGGATATCCACCAACGTTTGACTTATGTTTTAATTACCTACACATGTTATTCTATTAAAATTAATCTTGTTTGAATTATGATCAAATAATGAATATAATCACCTCTCTTTACAAAAATTTAAATCTTGATTCATCAAGTTACAAAGGAACTAATCCTTTTTGGTAGATTCAATTTTCATTGGTTGCCAAAGTAGGACTTTAATTGTTGCATTTTGCTTTTTTTTTTAAATATAATTTTGAATTTATTTTTTGATATTTTAAATTCTTCCATGAGTGGTATTATAAAGAACTAGAACCAAAAAAAACATAAACTTGTAACAAAACTTAAAAAAATACAAGAATTTAAAGTTATATTTGATTCTAGCTAACCCGCATTGGGTTGAATAGAATTATAAGAGCAGCGAAGTCTACCAACAAATATTTAATACAATTGCATGTAAGATTTGAAATCGAAATCACTAGCTGAGCCAGTACGGCCCATAATCGGTTGTGGCCTACATGCTCATTGGTGGGGATTGTAAATTTTGAGTCAAACACAGTCATTATCTCTTTGTATTGCCCCATGTTTCTACTCTTAAAAGCATTTTTAACAATTTTCCAAAAATAAAAATTTGGGGATAATTATGTTGGAGCTATTCAATTTTTCAATTCAAATTTCAACAAAAAGTATCATACACACACATTTATATATATTGCACAAGAATGGGTCAACCCAATAATTTATTAACGAATGAAAATATTGTACAATACTCATATACATAACGAAAAATTTTTTGCTAGAATAGTTCTACTACCTTATAATGGGCATTTGATTAAATTTACAGTGATAATATTTTAAATAGAATTTCAAAAAAAAATCATATAAGTGTGTCACCCCAAAAAAATATCTTATTTATACAAAACCAACTCTTCATAAACAATAAATTTCATATCAATTGATCTCCAAGTTGAAATTATTAGTTTTTTTTTGGTTAAGTTAACTTTATCGATCATAATAAATTAATCAAGAGAAAGTGGACTTGATTTCTTTTTGGAATATCATGATATACTCTTTTCGTATGTAAAGTTTCGTGCTTGTGGGTCATGCTTAGTGAGAGGTTACGGCCAATAAGAACAAGTTCTTCTCATAATGTCCCCACATTATTATAATTTGTGTGATATTCTAAAAGAGAACATTGTAACTAATTTTATCGATGGTACGTACACCAATTTGACCATAGAATCTTAACCCTTACATCATACTTTAAATAAAATGCTTTTCGTATGATAGGATTTTGATATAATAATTATTCTACATGCAGATTAGCTTACTATTCTATACCCTCACCTAATTTAAAGTTCACCACAATTTTTAGTTTCTTTTTAAATTTAAAATCTCCAACATGGGTCACTTTCAATCTTCCCAATTTTGACACAGAATTGAAAAACTTTGCAATTGATATTCTGACTTTTAATTTAGAAAATTAAATGAAACTTATTTTAATGATATATGTAAATGCAAAAAATATTACATTGACTTTTTGAAATTTAACATGGAGATATGAAAAATTTGTAATTAACGTTTCAAATTTTAACACAAAAGATTGAAAAAAATGTGTTTAACTAATACATATAGCTGTAGGATTTCACTCTTATACTCCACAATTCACTACTGATCATACAATAATTTACAACTAATCTTCCAACTTTTGTTATGGAACATTATAAGGGGCATGGAAATTAAGTAATGTTGGATTTGGATGTATAATGATTTGAATTTAAATCAAATTCTCCATTTGAATGCATAACAATTTATGAATTTAGATATGAATAATTCAAATTTAAATTCATGTTTTATTATAACTTTTCATGAATTTTTTTTTTTGGTAAAGTATGAGAAACAAGCTTTTGTAGATTGTAAAGGATATTTCTCATAAGTACTAAAAGTAATGGGTAAACATTTTACCAACTAAGCTAACGTCCCTGTCCAAGTTGAGTGTCATTTCAAACTGCAAAGTTGTTGATGAGGGGCCTTCCCTTGGTGCTAGCTCTTGTCCTTCTATGGTGCGGATTGTATTCCACATCTGGTGAAAAAGGAGTCAATCCAATGGTCCCATTTCAAAATCCCTTTGAGTCAAAGCATCAAAAGTACTATTTAGAATTCAAGGGTTGTCATCATCGTCCTTGACCTTAACAAACATAAAAGAGCTCTCATAATGTTCTTTATTTTATGCTATCCAGGCCCTTTATAGGCCACATGCCTCCGCTTTTTCACCCCAGTAATTTGACATATCTAGTGACCATACCTGGGGCCTTCAAGTGTAGAGGAATGAGCATATGCTATCTCTGAAAATCTCAAGTTGTCGCAGCCATTCATTTACTCGTGATTATTATGCATTTCTTAAATAGTACATCTCAAAATTATGTTGGTGGATTAATGTCTACTACAGAGAAAAAGAATATACCGACAGAGAAGAGAAGCCCCACCATATATATGCCACTGGGCGTGAGTCTCTCCTTGTCATAATCCCCTATCCCGTGTCATGAAAAATTATAAAATCAAGGGATAATCATATTAAAAAACCACTCAAGTAAATATTTACAGATAAAGATTAATATGAAATGAATTATTGTTAAAACGAAAATGCAACTTATTTTTCCTCAAATAAACTTATTGTTAGTCATTATGTGTGAATAATTTTTTTAAGTAATCTTTAAATGTTATTCTTCCTAAAATCAAATACATGTCTTCATTTAATAATTAGATTTTCAAATCAAATAACCTTTGACCAAAAAAAACAATCACTAATTTATACCACTTTCCATTCTTTTAAATAAAATTATATTTCAGTATATATTTTGTGTTTTGTCCATAGCTCAAGTATCTTGGAAGTAGAACTGGTTTAGAGGTTGAGTTCCTCTGGTTTTTACTTTCTGTAACTTTAGACATGATCTGCAATACCGGTTTTTTTCCCGGCCGTAAATACAAGAGTCAAACACACAAACACACAAACACACACGGACAGTAAAAGGAAATTTCCATTAAGTATTGATTAAAGACAGCTTAGATGTGTTTCATTATGTTTTGAAGTAAACATGCGATGCATCAAGATGATTTTAGCCTACTCAGTTTGTGCAGACTTGGCAAGTGCCTTCATGTAAAAGCACAAATTGGACTCCGAAGTAGCCACTATCAAGTATGTCCTTTACGTTAAAAGCTTGTAAAGCACTCCGCCTTTCACAGTTTATCAAAGTTAGGGCCTAAAATTGAATCTACTTACAAAGCTAACACTGCTGTGCTTACATGGCATTAATGGCGTGAAGTAAGTGATGATGTGGGAAGAAATTTATATGTGGACAGTGAAGTGGCAATAAGGAGACCCTAGGTGGCAAGCTCACAGCCCCTCTCCAAATCTTGGATAGCCTTTCTACCATCTGAAGGAAGATTCCCACCCCCCCGGGTTTTTTTTTTTTTTTTTGGTTGGTTTGTTCTGAGCAACCCTCTTCATTTGAGAAGAAGAAGAGAGGTTGACGAGCTTCATGAGTTGGGAAACAATTGGACATCTGAGACTGAGACAAGTATCAGAGAGGCCAAATAAAGCTCCATTATCGATTCATCCGTTCGAACCAGCATATGAGGGTTGTGACACCATAAATTATACCCACCAAGAAGAGAACAATTAACGGCTCGAGACCGAGTCGCGAGGGAGAAATTGAAACTCAACTCTCTATATGAAGACGACAGAGACTGAGTTAATGGGTTATGTTTCTAATTAGTTCTTCCGGAGATGGGGTGCCTTTGCATTGCTTGGCTTAATGGGTTATGTTTCTAATTAGTTCTTCCGGAGATGGGGTGCCTTTGCATTGCTTGGCATCTTCAAGCTTTGAATGCTTTCTCTGTTTCGAATTATACACTTCAAATTGCAGGCTTTCTCCAGTGCGTGAACAACATAACTATGAATAATCTGGGAAATAAAACATGGACAAATGCAATATTGATGTATGCAGCCTATAACATACTTTTCCTCAAGCATCTTGTACGTCTTTCCCCTTGATCAACCACACAATCCCTCCTCTTCACGCCACTGTCCAGAAGGTGGTGATGTCACCATAAGAATGAGAGAGAGAGATTGGAGTGAAAAGTAAGCAAAACAAAAGAGCTTAAAAAACTTAAGTTTCATCTTTTCCGGTGGCGAAGCAAGCATATATACCACCAACATTAAGAAATGAGCTTTAAAGAAAATTAGCAAAGAAAGAATACTGTTGAGGAGACGGTGAGTGAACTACTGATTCCCATAAAATACACACATTTGTGGCAGCTTTTCTGCAATTGTAGCATTCCTTCATTCATACATCTCCCAGCAAAGCAACATTGTGCCGCCCAAAGAATCATTCTTTATCCCCAAATCAGAAACACTTGTATTCCATCACCCTCACTCTTCCTTCACTCTCACCAATTTCAAAGGTAACCTAACTCTACATACATGAAGCCCACCTTGTAGTGTACCACCTTCTGGTCTTTGAATTGAAACTGGCACAATAGAGCCATAATTCCAAGTGAAGAGGGTGGGTCATGGGAACAAGAAGAGGTTACTTGAGATTAAGAGCTGGCTTTCTTCTCCTTTATCTCATTCTAGCAGCTGTTTCCCTCAGTCATTGTGGTAAGCCCTCTCCAACTACACTATTCCAAACTAATCACGGTTAATCCTACTTCTTCAATGCCATGTTTTAATCTGCATTTTACTAATTCTGATCATACACAAGAAACCGTAATGTGTTGTGTAAGAACAAGAGGTGCGACAGAGCAATGTGGCGGAAGAAGATAGTAACAATTGAATTTCGTGATACTATCGAGATCGAGCGAGATTTCACCTGATGAAGATAAGTTCATGAACCTCTTTGCTTTCCAATGTGCAGATGCAGAAAGATCGATAACGAGTAAACGTAAAAGTTCAAGCAACAAGCATTCTAAGAAATTGAAAGCCATTAAGCATTTTGGTCTCGATCCATCTTTAGATTCATCAAATGTACAACCCTACAGCGTTAGCTCACCGTTCTCTCTGCCTCCTTACGAATCTCTCGCTCCAATTCCGTTGCCGGATAATGGATCTCCTCCGTTCTGTGTATATCCTCCAAACCCTCCTTCCACAGGTGTTCCCAGCCCAACTTTTCCAGCCCAAGGTCCACCTCCAGGCCCATCTGGATACTTTCCCACACCACCATCTCCCTATTCTTTCTCTTCACCAGTTTTTCCCATCCAAAGCCCACCTCCAGCACCTGAAATTGTTCCAAGCCCACCTACTATCATCCCGGGCTCACCTGAACCGGTGATAAACCCGCCTATAGTTTACCCAGGCCCACCAAGTTCATCAACGAGCCCACCTTATTTTGAGCCTAGCCCACCATATGTCATACCGTCCCCTAGTGGTGGAGGTATTGCTCCCAACCCACCAAGTTCACCAACTTTTCCAACCCCTGGCGGCGGCGGTGGTTTCCCTAACCCACCAATTTCTTTTCCATCCCCTAGTGGTGGCAATGTCCCAGGCCCACCAAGTTCTTTTCCATCCCCTGGCGGTGGGAGTGTTCCTAGCCCAATAGTGTTTCAGCCACCAATAATCTATCCGCCACCGATTGTGCCACCGCCACCGTATGTTGCCCCAGTTGCGGCCTTGTGGTGTGTGGCCAAGCCCTCGGTTCCGGACCCAATCATGCAAGAGGGCATGAACTATGCATGTTGGTCAGGAGCTGATTGTGGACCAATACAGCCCAATGGGCCATGCTTCTTTCCTGATTCAGTGTATGCACATGCATCGTATGCTTTCAATAGCTATTGGCAAGTGAGCAAGGCGAATGGTGGATCATGCGACTTTGGAGGGATAGCCATGCTAGTCGCCGTTGATCCAAGTGAGTAAAAGCAGTGAATAATTCAGCTTCTCTAGAGTGTGATTATTTATTGATTTAATATTTTTTCAGTGATTAATTAACGAAACTGTTTGCTCCCCGACAGGCTATGATGGATGCCACTTTGTGTACAACTGATTTGATGGAGCTTAAGGGCCCGCTTTTGGAAATGAGCCAGATTAGAAGAAACACCACTTTCCTGAACAAAATCCCTAACATTTTTTGTAAGTGGAAATAAGTGACGTCTGTAATTTTGGATTTTGTAAGTAATAGAGACCACTATATTGGCTTCGATATCGTTCGCATACTCAGCATTGGAAGTGTACATCTTTTTAACATTATTAAAATGGATTTAAAAATTTTTTGTTTTATATGTTCATTGTTATAGGAGTAAATAAATGAAATGAAATCAAAATGGAACGTGTTGGATAGAGAATTTGAAACAATAATGTACGGTAGGGTTATAGGAATGTGATGCTTTGACTTGAAAGAGAGAATGGTTAGAAATCTTATCATGCGAGATTGAACAATCACATTTGACCACATTTTTAAAGAAGGTAAATAAATGTATGAATTGGTTATCTCATCAGGCTTCTACTAATAATTTATATGTTCATATTTTCGATACCCTATCGCTTAGTTGCTGTAATTTTTTATATCCTGACATGACTCATCTTATCAATTAACATGGTTTATTTGTGACCTTTAATTCATTAAAAAAGAAAGAAGACAGAATGGAAGTATTTTAACATGCTTTACCGATAGTCTTGATTAGTGCCAAAAGTTCTCTTTCGAGGTGCCAAATAGAGTACTAACTTAGACAGCCATGACACTGAATGCTAATTTAGTTTCTATTGATTTTGAATTCTTATAGTAATATATGTCAAATGCCTTTTAAAGACATTTAAGAAATGAGAACCTTGTTGATTAAGGGTTAAATGGTAATTTTATCCTTCAACTATATAATTAGGAGCATCAAGTATCATAAACTTTTGTGTGATATAATTTTCTCCTTCAACATTTGAAAATAATTCATTGAGCACTGTGACGGTAAAAAACTTAAAAAAATATAGAAAATGACTTATAAAATTATAAATAAGTACTTTATAAGAAAATTAATATCGATTAAGTTCTTAAAATAATAACTGGTCAAAAATTATATTTTGGCATTTTACATGGGTAAGAAATAAAATTCATGTCATGTTATTTATATGTAATTTAAGAAACTTAATTGATATTAATTTTTTTATAGGATAGTTATATATAATTTTATGGGTCATTTTATACAATTTTATGGGTCATTAACACTTTTTGCAATTTTTAAATCAATTAACGATCAATGTTAAGTTTTTAATAGTAGTGTGCTCACGGTATCATTTTTATATGTTAAAAGAAAAACTGTATCACATAAAAGTTTAAAATATCATATACTCTTAAGCAATAGTTAAGGAAAAAAAATATTCTTTAACTTTTTTTTTTGAAAAAAAAGTAACTGATGATTTCTTGATAAACAGCTTGATTACAGTACTATATAGAATAAATTTGAAAGAACAATTATTTTTTGGATCAAAGATTTCCCAATAAGGATTGAAAGAGATTGGGGAAAAAATTTGAGAAATTGAAGCCGGTAATCCTCATTAAGAGGACACCAAACCGTATTGCTATAGTATATGATCACAAGAACTAGCAGTGATTATTCTTCAAAGCAATCAAATGAGCATAAGATTGAAGCGTTTTCAAATGATGAGCTTTTGTATATCATTACGAGGCAAATATCTGTGTACATGCAAATGCCATAGAAACTTTCAAGATGAATTTGAGTGGCCTATAGAGATCAATTTGTTGTTGAAGAAAAATGACAGTGGCTGATCGAGAATTGAAGTTGTCATATACTCCCATCAATATTTTTAAATGTAGAAGAAAATAAGTAACTCATATAGTTTAAGAAAATTAGTTAATTATAATAATTATGTTTGAAATTAAAACAATTAAATTGAATTATCCATCAAATTAATTAAACAAATTTATTTAGTGAAAATAAACATTGAATTTATGAGAAACAATTTAGAAAAAATATGATCAATATTTTTTAAAAAATTTATAGTTTTGTTTATAAATAAAAATAAAGAAACAAATAATTATTTTTTCAAATTTGAAGATGGAGTAGTATATGCATGATACATGTGTGGTATTAAATAACAATGTGCGCACGAAATAGAAATGGGTGGTTTTTAAAAAAAAAAAAACTCTGATTTTTGTTGTTGTGGTATTTATCAGATATATTTATGCAGTTCAAGTGAAAATGATATTTTAATCTAGTTTAATAATTCCATAATTTTAATTTAACTTATTATATTTCAAAAAAGATACCATGATTTACAATAATTGATTCTTAGATTTGATAAAATAAATTTTAAAACTTACATTAACATTTGGATTATCTAAATAAAAATAGTTATATGTTACTCCATCCATTAAAAAATATAAAGTATTTTTTAAAGAGTTAGATGTTAAAAAATATAAAACATTTTTAGTATTTTAAGATGTAATTATTATATTTTTTTTCAAAAGTATCACAAATAAAGAAATCACTTTATATTTACTTTAAAGTAAAATACCCTATTTAATAGGGTAAATGTGAAAAGATAATATTAATTTAAAAATAATTAATTACTTTATTAATAATAAGATTTAATTAAAAATATTTTATATTTTTTAACAAAGAGAGTAACTAATTTTCTCGAACCATTTGGCATTTGAATTAGGAAATTATAATTTAAAAATTCAAATTTAAATATGAAATTTTTAGTTTAAATATTTTTTAGATCTCAAATATTTGAACAATTATATTTGAATCTTAAAAGATCCTAATCTCAATTATTTGATCTATAAATTTCTAAATATATAAAAGAATAAATTGTATATTTTTTCAAATGAAAAAAAATTAAGAAGTTAAATCATCATTAAAGAATATATAATAAATTTTAGACAAAAGTATACTTTTAGTTCTCTAGTTTTATATAAAATTTTCATTTAGTATGATAAAATATTTTTTAATCCTTTAATCCTAACATATTAGTTTTAAATGATTATTTTTTATATCAATTATTATTATTATTATTTTAAAAATTTAAACTTAATATTTCAACATTTGAAAATATTTTTTTAGTATTTAAAACTTCATTGTAAAATATTTTTGTGATGAAACCAGTGGTATTTTATTAGGATTAAAAGATTAAAAAAATTAAAAATATTTTATAAAATTAAAAGATCAAAATAAAATTTAGTATAAAGATAAAAGCATTGACGGGCAAAAATTCAAGAATGAAAAAGTTGTTTAGTTTCCTCAAATTGTCTAAGAGAATGATAGAGAAGTTTCAAAAAGATAATTAATTCAACTTATATTTCAATTATCAAACTTTAAAAATTTACAAGTTCAGTTCTCAATTTTATAATTTTATTGTGATTAATTTATAATTTATTTTTTAAATTTATTTTTTTGTTAAAATTTGCAATACAAGTTGCGAATTAATCACAACGAAATTGCAAAATTAAAAACTGAACTTATAAATTCTTAAAATTTGGCAATTGAAACCTAAGTTGAATTAATAATCCTTTTAGGACATCTCTATCATTCTTCCAAATTATTTTCAAAGTCCATTTAAGAAGTCCATTGAAAAAGCTCATAAAATTAATTTCTTGATCTTTGATAGCTTTTTAAAAGCACTTTGCATGATTTTGTTTCCAGCTCTTTCTCACTCTTCAATTTTTACTCCATCATTCTCATAATCTAAATAATTTTTAGTTTATAAAATTAGATTTTAAAAAAAATTTATCTAAACACAAATTTTATTAGAATAACTTCCTTTTGTCAAATTGATTTTTACCAAATGGAGGTTTTTAAACTTTTTATTTGTCTTTTTTTATAATAAATGGGTCTATCTTCTTTATATATAGATATAGAAGAAGGGAAAAAGAGAGAGATTTAGACCTCATTTGATATAATGAAATATTTTTTTTTATGAAATTTGAATCAAAATAAAATTAAGTTATAAAATTTTATTTAGCATGAAGATAGAATTTTGATATAATTTTAATAATTATAAATATCTTAAATAAGGAAGTACCAAAATGCCCCTAGTTATGAAAAAAAAAAGAAAGAAAGAGAATCCCACAACTCGCAGTTACAACTCTCGACTGCAATGCTTTATTCTTCTTTTTTTTGGAAGGATATTGAAGCTTGGTTTTGTAGCGTGTTTTTGGGTCACATGTTTCATTTTAGCAATGGTTTTCAAAAATGGTAAATCAGGTGATTGGTCGTCTTCTCCATCGCTACATCTGAGAATCCCACTAGATAACCATATGGTAGATTGAATCAACATGGGCGAGATGAGAGCAAGAATTCCTAGAAAAGACCAATAACACAACATCGACCCATAGCAACAAAAGCAACAACGGAAACCAACTTTCCAGAGCCAGAACGTAGACAATAATGAGAGTCAAACGATCGCGAAGCTGATGACCAAAACCCAAGTTGCCATGATGCTGCAAAGCTGGGAAGCACCGGCTGGCATCCCTGAGGCCGTTCACCGATGCTCCCCATCCTCAATGAATGCCCAAAAAAGTGATGGCAGGAGGAGACTATCGGGTGTTGGTATCGATGGGTAAAATTATAGTTTGAGGTGTTCGAGGATATTGTTTTTGAGAAATATTTGGCCAGTTGATAGCCCAATCATTTCTTAAAATTAAACAAACTTTTTTTATAAAGTAATACCAATACTAATAAAGCACTAAGAGAGGAGGAGGGAAAGTCCATCTTTTTAGCTGTCCAAAAACGTATAGTAAGCATTATTTTTTATAGACAATGACTTTAAAAAACTGAATAAAAAAATTACCTTAATCATATTTAAAAATTTATTACAAAAATAATGAAGCTAAATAATTAAATTTAAATAGAAATTATAGTAATCAATAATATTAAATTATAATAATTTCTTTTAAAATATCTATGAATATTTTATAATGTCCAAGATGGAGATTGGAGGAAGAGGGTGCTCTCGATGCGGCCGTTGCTACTGAAAGGCTCTTGTTGTGACAATGGATCGGTTTTTGTATTGGCTAGAAGGGTCAAAGAGAGAAGAGGGGGACAAATGGAGGATGGGTGTAAAATGGATAGAGGGGGTGTTGGAATCAAATTCCATGAGGTGTGTGATTGAATGGGTTCTACCAATTTTGGCTGAATCAAAATTCTTTAGAATTGTGTTTGCAACATGCCAAACGAGCATCATCATGGATTCTATGTTCATTTCCCTTTCTTTTTGCTTGATTCCACCTTACCAACCAGGGCCTTGAAGAATCGAATCAAACGGAATTCAATTTGTTCTTCTTTCTCTCTTTTGTTGCATTGGATTAGTATCTTCGGACATTCGCGTTCATTTGGTTTTTGCTTTTTAGATATGAAAGCTAAAAGAGACCAAGCCGTTTAGGGGGTATATTTTCTTTTTAAAAGGTGAAAAAGACCAAAACGTTTCGAGTTATTTTTAATTTTCTGTATTTTCTTTTTATATCACATGATGCGGTGCGTCCAGCGTTGGGTTCCCAGCTAGGCCTAATACGCTAATCTCCAGTCCACAGTCGGTCGGTCGTCGTGTGTTCAGCCGTCTCTCCTCTGTCGCCTCGCCCTCCTGATTCCATTGAATCTCCTCTAAAAAGCTTCAAGCTTTCTCTGCTTCAAAGTTCTATCCCAGTCATTCTCTCTTACCCCTTCATTGAACTCCCTTTTTTAGCCACCACAGCGTGCTGCCGGCGCCGTTGATGGACTACACTCCTCCTCCGTTTGAGGACGGCTTCACTGCCGAGAAGCTCTTCTGCCAGGGTTACTCCTACACCTATGACGACGTCATTTTCCTCCCTCACTACATTGACTTCCCAACTGACGCTGTCCAGCTGGCCACCAGAGTCAGTCGTAATGTGCCTCTGAATATCCCCTGTGTCGCTTCTCCGATGGACACCGTCTCCGAAGCTCACATGGCCGTCGCTATGGCTGCCCTTGGTGGTATCGCTTTTATCCACTCCAATACGACGCCGTCTGATCAGGCTGCCATGATACGCTCAGCTAAGTCGCGTCGAGTGCCGATTCTCTCCAATCCTGTCTTCAAACCACCCTCTGGGAGGATTGAGTCGCTTGATGATTTTGGCGACTCACCGTATGTTTTGGTTACTGAGTTGGGTACTTCGGCATCAATGCTTTTGGGTTATGTGTCGAAGTTGGACTGGCAGAAACTAAACGATAAGGAGGTGAAGATATACGATTATATGGTGAACTCGTCGGATTCAGTGCCGTCGAGCTCTGATTTGGGACAAATCCATGCGTTTTTGGAAAAGAAGAAGTCAAATTTTGTGCCTTTAGTGAACAACGATGAGGTGTTGGATTTGGTGACGAAGGAGGATGTTGAAAGGCTTAAAGGGTATCCCAAACTGGCAGCGGGTTCGTTGGGGGTGGATGGGAAGTGGTTGGTCGGTGCGTCGATTGGCACAAGGGAGAGTGACAAAGAAAGATTGGAATACTTACTAAAGGCTGGGGTGAACGTAGTAGTCTTGGATAGTTCTCAAGGGAACTCTATCTATCAGTTGGAGATGATAAAATACATCAAAAATATGTATCCAGAGTTGGATGTTATAGGTGGGAATGTCGTTACTATGTACCAAGCTGACAATTTGATTCAAGCTGGCGTTGACGGTTTGCGAGTTGGTATGGGGTCTGGATCTATATGTACTACCCAAGAGGTTTGTGCAGTGGGGCGAGGACAGGTATGAATGATGAATCATAATTAGAGCTAAAAAATTTTCATTCTTTTGTTGTTTAATTCTTTCCCTCCTGGCTGATGGAAGCTTGAAACTTTTGATTATGTTTTACTTGTTTGTCAGGCAACAGCGGTTTACAAGGTCTCATCTATTGCTTATAAAAGTGGTGTTCCTGTTATTGCTGATGGCGGCATCTCAAACTCTGGTCATGTTATTAAGGCCTTAACGCTTGGAGCTTCTACTGTGATGATGGGAAGCTTCCTGGCTGGGAGCACTGAAGCTCCTGGTGCTTACGTGCATCAGGTATTAAAATCTAATAAAATAACGCACTGAACATGTCTGTACAGTTTTAGTGGTCATCACTAACTGGTAGGGTAGTTTCTGAGTTATGATTAAAAGTCTTGTTATATATGGAGCCTTTAACTTTACATATACCATAAATTACTGAGTTTTGATAAGTTGTGCAATCAGTGGCAACTGATGGCCATTTTACGGTCGGAGAAGCAATAAAGACTCTGTAATGCTTGTCTTTATTTGTTGAGTGGTATTTTCATTTGGACAGAGAGTCGTTTGGTGATTAGAAACATTTTTTTTTTCCCTCTTAACAGAGGTTCTTGATATGAGCTGCCAAAGGAAAGGAAACCGAAAAACAACTTAAAAATGATAAGTTGTGATACAATATTGCCGTTATCTGTGAAAGCTATCCTCTTAAGCTGTGGTTTAATAGTGAGCTGGGTTAAAAATGATGGCATTTTTTTTTTTACAGTTGACCACTATATATGTTGTAAACACACAAGTTTGTATGCACCACAATTAAAATGTACACATTATTACTCGTGTTTGTGAGTGATGACAATATGTTTTTATGTCTAATTAAAATGTTATTATATTTGCTGTAAATAACTATTTTCACTGCGACAGAATGGTCAACGTGTAAAGAAGTATCGAGGAATGGGTTCTCTAGAAGCTATGACTAAAGGTAGTGATGCAAGATACTTGGGTGATACTGCGAAGCTAAAAATTGCTCAGGGGGTTGTTGGAGCAGTTAAAGACAAGGGTTCTGTATTGAATTTCATACCATACACCCTACAAGCTGTTAAGCAAGGGTTCCAAGATCTTGGTGCCTCTTCTCTGCAGGCTGCTCATGATCTTCTAAGATCTAAGGTGCTAAGGCTAGAGGTATGTGTCTTCTGTCCACAATTAATCTAACTGAACATTTTCTCAATCAAGATAGGTCATTTTTTGGATGTAGTGTACATTCATCAGTAACATGTACTCACTAGTTTTCATTAATCTTAACCATGGAGGAGGGCAGATTATAAAATTCCGTAATGCCTTTTACTCCTTTTGGAGTTTGGACTACAATATAAATTATTGTTAACTAATTTATGTTTCTCAAGAAATGTTGGTTAAAATCTTGCTTTTCTAAAATTTTTCATCTCTTTTCCATCGTACTCTTTGATTGGAATAAATATAATATTTGACTTATTTAAAATACCCTCATTGATTACTTGGGTGGAATATATTAAAGTAAGGGTATAATTGAAAAAAATATATATATAACCTATCAAATTTCCCATATTTTGAATCAAGTGGGGCTTTTAAAAAAACGCCCTATATTGTGGTGGTCTGGAGGATTTTTTTTTTTAAGTAATTGTAACCCTGAGCCAAGAAAAAGGGGTTACAATAAAAAATACATTATTATAGATTTATAATTGCTTCTCTTTTTCTGGAATGGAATATTGTGTTGGCCTTTTTGGGGCGCCTTATCTTCTGCCTAGTTCCTATTGGGAAAGATGTTGATTCTTGTTCAAGCGGTATCTTTAGAATCTGGGATCAATACCTTATTGCTGTATTGAATCAAAGGAGTATTTCCTCTGTCTCAATTTATAAGACATTTTTTGACAAAATTACACATACCAATAAATTTCAATAACCACATTTTACAATTTTAATTTTTCTATACACTTCCAAAAGCACCCTTCATGAGTAAGAGAGAGGGAGAGAGGGAAATAAATTTCTTTGAGGAGTGAAGTAATGAGGGGTGATATTGAAAATAATGAGGGACACCAAATTACCCTAAAAAATGTCTTATTGGCAACTCCTTTTTTGTATTCCTTCGCTTCTGCGATGTGCAAAACTTAGAATCCTGAAGTTTTTTTGTGTCCATGCTGATATGCTTGAGGTTTCATGGTGTAGTTTATGTTGTAAATTATTTGGCTTGGTGTATCCAGGTCCGAACTGGAGCAGCACAGGCGGAAGGTGGAGTTCATGGGTTGGTTTCTTTTGAAAAGAAGTATTTTTGAGGGGTTTGAAACCATGTCGCTTTCTGTGAAGGCTGTGGATGAAATCATTGTTACAAAAATGATTGTATGAATAGAGAAATTTGGAGAGGGAAGGTATTGGACTTGCAAAGGAAAAGATTCCACCCTCATTTTATGAATAAGAACGCTTTCCATTATATTTTAGATTGTCTCATTGAGTCATAAGCTCAGTGTTGCCAATTTAATATTTGAACATTGATTTAATGTTTTCAGAAAATTCGTTGCATTTGGTGGGAATGTGTTGTTGAAATGGCTGCCAGAGATAGTGTATTGTTTTCTTGAATTTTTACTTTACTGAAGTCGTGAAGATAACAGGCAATTCAGTTGTTTGGCAAGAGATAGTGTATTGTTCTCTTGAATTTTTACTTCAGTAGAAGTCGTGAAGACAACAGGCAATTCAGTTGTTTGGTTACTTGTCTCCCACTTTGGGAATCCCTTACTTGTTCAAATGCATTTTCAATTTTTTTTCCTCAAATATTTTTAATTTTTTTGTTTGATATCGAATTTGTGGTTTAACACTATGCGCCATGTTATTAAAATCTAATTCAAGTTGGTTGGATTGGATTTTTTGTTTTTCCTTTGTGAGTCTGACATGATATTTTTGAGTTAAAAACGAAGAAAAATAATAGTTTATTATATTTGTGATTTAGTAGCTCTATTTTGAGGTATGTGAAGTGTACTTAAATGTTCCGTTTGCTTGTGAATTAATATTTTTTTAAATGTTACTCTTTAGAGAGAGAGAGAGAGAGATATATATATATATATATTGTATATTTAAATTAAATTATTTTATTTTAATCTCGAGATGATCTTGGTTTCATTGTAATTGGATCGCTGATTTTTAGGCAATGGTTTTGATCTGTTCAATAGTTTATTAGAAGCACTGCCCTATAATATATTACAATGGAAAGTACTTGCTAGTTAAACATTAGTGGAGTTATATATTTATAATACTTGTAAATGGTAACGTGTTGTTCTCCAATGCTTAGAAAGAAAGATATGAAATGGGGAATATGATCATTTGCCAAGCAAAAGAAATATATCATGGAATACTTATGAAAGAAAGCAATTAAAACTTTTAAGCGAGACGATTTATTCACAAGGTGATCTCTCAAAACCAAATGAACTGTGACAGGACCACCCTCCCTCCCTCGTTCCTAAGTTGACACAGGATTCAAGTTTTCCATAGCTTCAGCCTCAGAAAATTCATGGAGGACGACGGGTTTTTCAAGCACGTCACTTACAGTAGATGATAACTCGTGTGAAGTAAACCCATCGTCCTTCAAGTAAAACAGATACAATACTTTGGCCATTTTCCAGAACAAATCCTTGCAAGCTCTTGGAATTGTGCTACCTTCTTCCTGCAAAACCAGTCTCAGAAGCTCTCTTCTGTTTTCCTCAATGACATCCTTCATCTCCTGAATGACATCTTCCTCAGCAACATCCCCACCCCGTTGAGCAACCAGCAAAGTGAATGCATTCAATTTCCCTTGGGCAGATTCCCTCTGCAAGAAAGACAACACATCAGCCACTTTCAAACTCTTTAAACCATTTCAACTCACATTTGAACTCACAAGTAAAAAACCCGTAATTGATTTTATTGATATCTCCTTTAGGATCAAGGAGAATCAATCTACATATCTTAGCTACAGGCTTTGAATATTTGACTCCATGTCAACATTCATCTTCATATGTGGTGAGTTTTGATTATTTTTGTTTTTGTTTTTTTTTTTTGAGACATCAAAAGTTTCTGTGAGTTGGGTCTCCAAACTCATCAAGGCCAAGATATGCTTCCAAACTCAAAATATTTATAGAGATACTAACAGATCACCCACCAATAAGGTTCCCATATTGATAGCATGGTTTAAATTCATAATATTGTGTATTATGAGTCAAATATTTTATTAACTGGATAACTGGATCAGCCTTTATCGGTTGAGCTTTGATTATTTTATCAATATCTCTAACAGAAGACATGCAAATGCAAGTACAGATTTTCTCCATTTAATGCGAAAAAATAATTTATTCCGGGTAAATTCCAGCACCTGGTCAATTTAGACCGTTTAGATGTTTCTTTTATGAGTAAATTCCTCCATTTGATTGTCATTTCCTCTTAATTAAAATCTGTTCAAAATGATTGTCATTTCCTCTTGAAATTGAGAAGATGCTTAGAAATGGGACGACACACCTTATAGCCATTGAAATCATTAAGGAGGCGCCCAGAAGTGCTCATTAGCTCATACAGTCTATGGTATTCAGGGTTTTCAGCCAAATCAGTTGGAAGCTTATGCCCCACAAGATAGAGTGTTGGAAGCACAATCGGTCCCAAGGCAAAAGATACATATGCATTTTCCATATATTCATCAATTGTTGGAACATGCTTGTTTTTCGACCACTGAGCTTCCTTCAACATCGATCGCATCAAATCCAACCACTGCAAACCAAACAAGTTGATTCATCAACATTGAAGTCAAATAGGAAAGGTGACAAATTATGGTTTCATTGACATTCAGAAGAAAACGTCATTGTTTAAAGGACTGTGCTTGAACATTATTCAGTTTCATAATGTTTCTTTCTATTTGATGGTCAAATGGAACAAAACAGTTTTGGAAGTTGAAACATCCAATCGGCTGGTATTAAGCTGTAAAAGATACCAGCACTTGAAATTATTAAAAGAATACTACAAATATATCATCAGAAAGGTGAAGACTTATCTCACAATTTTTTTAACATGGTCTGTTGCATTATGTTCTTGGCACTTTAATGAATTCTCCCCAATCTCACAAATTGTGTCCCGAACTGCGGAAAATATTATGCTGACGGACTCGGAACAAGAAACACTGCTGAGATCTACATCCCACCTGCAGTTAAATTTTCATAACATGATTGTGTGAAGAGAGGCTATATGACAGGTCTTGATGAAATAATGCAATGACAAGCTTTTTAGTTTAAAAATGAAAATACCTCTCCACCAGCCGAATTAGTTGCACTAACTCCTCTTCAGAACCACCAACATCAAAGAAATCATCAACAACTGTTGTGAGCACCCCATTTTTTGCCCATGCTATGCGGGCATCAGAAAGTTCAGGGTAGAAAATTGTTGCTGCACTGGTGAAGTAACAATAGCCTAATTTCTGCCTTGCAAATTTGAGTTTGTCTAGCCTGCTATCCACTACCCACCTGCATGTGTTAAATTACATTCAGATCACACCTGAAGAAATCAAAACAGACTAAAATCCTATTTTAGTCTTCCTAAGATGAGCAAATTATCAATTAGCTCCCACAATTTTTTTTTTGTTTTTTTTTTATATCAATGGAAATCGAATTGGAGTACTAAAATGATGCCAAATATTTCTTGACAGCAAATCAATACACGAGTCTCATCTTTTAAGGACAACAAAAGGGGTTCCAGTCAATCAGAAATGTACCCTAGTTAAAATTGGAGCAAGCACAACTAGTTGTATTTGTATGAACAAAAGAAGCAAAGCAGAAGGCAAGATTCAGGAAGATGTATAAAAAATCAGCCATGGCTTACATTCCAGAATCACCAACCACACATGAGTATGCAATGGAGAAAATTTTTGTGATATTCCAGTGGGGGAAGCTTTATTGAAAACAAAGAAGATTTGTACCTTGCAAGTTGTTTAAATTCTTCATGATGTATTGATTGGCAGATATTGAAGTCTTCTGCAGCCATCTTTAAAAAATCTTCATTTGCAAGATTTAAAGATCTGGATTATGCCAACCAGTATTAATTTGAGCACAGGATAGAGAGTGGAAGGAAGGCAAGCTAAGAAAATTGAAGAAAATAGTGGAAGCCCACCTATATGAAGTTTTTAAAATCCTTGTATCTTCCAAATTATAATGGTCTATGGATGCTCTGTTTAACAAGCGCTCCAACTTCTTATGATGAGGAAATTTAAGCTCATCATTGACCTAATGTTAGAAAAGATAGCAGTTTTCAGCATGCATAATAAGACTGCAGAAAAACATGGGACTACATTATAGAAGATGTTAGCTTAAGAAACTACCTCTTGTTCAACATGACTAAAAAGTCTATCAACGCGTACTTGGAAAGGTGATAATTCCTGCTTCAAGAGATGTCTTGTCCAGGCATTTTGTTTCACCAGAACTTCTTCACCTGGATGTATCATGATTTGTGAAGCTTTATATAGCTCTAAAACAGCACCAACATCCTTCAAGTATCCTTTCAAGGAGTCAGGAAATTTATCTTTGGAATATTGATTAAATGGATCTACAAAGAGAACATATTAATGAACTTCTCATCTTTCTTCGACCAAGAGCTCTTCTAAACAACAAACATGATAAATCAAACAACCTGAAGACACATCATATCCGTTCATTCGTAATAAACGAAATGCCAGTGCACAGCAAGTGGGGTCTAAGAATATTTCTTCATCTCCATCAATCCAGTATCTGCATATTCTCATATCCAGCAGTTTTAATGGTAAAAAACAGGAAGCTTTCTCTATTTTGATGGTATCTGAGTATCACTACTTTCATCTCATATGGAAAACAACTTCCTTGGTTAGTCTTATAATCTACAATAACTGACATGTTACCTTAGGAGGTGCATGCATTTAAAAATGTTTTATTACCTGTATGTTTCATCTAATACACTTTGAATTTCCTTGCTGAAATGATAATCAATGCCCAACCTCTCAAGACTGTCAACCATGCAAAGACGAGCATATATGTCCAAAGGGTAAACTGTTGGAACTGTGAGTTTACAAAATCGTCCAGTCAATGCATGATTAGCATTATTAGAAAGAAATCACACAAATAAATCAGAGAAACAAACCAGCGTTTCCAAACTGCTCTAAAACTGATCGAAGGTAAATAAGACAGTCATCATTCTTATAGTGTTGAAAAACTGCTGCCGTGGTAGCAGGTGAGTTAAACAAAGATCCATTCTTCCTTTGATACTTCATGACCATTTGCCAGTCCTGATTTTTCCCAATGCCTTCTGAAACATATGCTAGATATGCTCTCCACCCATCTGAATTGCTTTGATAACCTCTATTCAAGACAAATAGACCACAAGTAGTCAGTTTGGTGCATTTCAGTAAATTGAAGGTCTCCTACCCTTAAACTCTTTACAACTATAACATGGTGAATAGATTGAGGAAAGGAATCTCCACTATTCAAGCATCCACAAATAACACCTAAATAGGCAAAATTTCAAATAATAAATACAAGCAAACCAGAGAATCACCGTCTAAGTTCCAACTCTCTGTTGTGAATGAGTCCTTCTAAACTTGTTGATCCAAGACAAAGATTTATGCCCAAACTTTGGGCTGACTTGAGAAGGGAAGGAAAAATTACATCAAATCCAATAGGAGAGTGTTGCTTCTCATCAATGACTGAAGCAATGTTTGACTCAATAAATTGAAGACCTGCAAGAAAAATGAAAAAATGTTGTTATTTTGAAAGAATAAAACAAAACGCATTACTATAACAGCAAACATAGAAATCAAACTGCATGCTAGAAGCCATAAATACCTCTGATAGTCTGCTCTTCACCAACATCCCATTGCTTCAGAGCAAGGACACAAGCTAAGGTTGATAAGAGAGCATCTTTGAATAACAATGGATGGCGACCAGGAAGACCCCATGAACCATCAAATTGTTGATTCTCCAATAACCAATTCAAACACTCAGGGAAAAAAGGCACATTAGGAGAATTCATGGAAGGAATCATAGCTACCCAAGCTGTATCATATGAGGAAATTGAAAGTTCAACCTTATTGAACATCTTCTTGATTCTTTCTTTAGCCCCCTCAAGGCGCTGTATGCAATAAAAGCCAAATTTTCATTTTGTTGTTAGTCCTCAGTTCTCACATAAAGATATCCCGAAAAAGAGAAGCACAAAATATGCAAATCATACCAAAGCGTTGCTGTTCATATTTTTCTTCAAATTTGATGTAGCTGGCAAAGAAGCTGCTGGAAGAGAAGTCACATGAGGCTTTCAAAGAAGAATTCATTGTTTTCACATGTGCATAGAAAACATGATGAAATGGGGGCACAGCGGCTCATTTGGCATGCGTGATGAAATGGAACAATGTAATGAAACAGAAATAGTGATTTTAAAAATATAAAGATAATCTTGGTTTCCTTATTTTATTAGGGCTTATTTGGTGCTCATGATGAAATGGAACAGTAGGATAGAACAGAAATAGTTATTTTAAAAATATACAAATGATCTTGGTGTCCTTATTTTAATACTTTAAAAGAAAAAAAAAAGATAAAATAAAGAGAGAAGAAAAGGAAGGAAGAAGAGATTCCCTTCCCCCTATTCCTCTCTTTACCAGCCAAGACATGAGTCCATCAATGACAGTCACCCAAGAAATCCCTTTAGCTTGCATGTGGAATTTAACAGGATTTTAATGGCGTTAAAATAAAGGATTACGATGATTGAAATTAGGGAAAACATCTAAGGAATGTACTTAGGCATTGAGACGAGAGACTCCACTATTTTGACATGCTAAAAGTGAAACACGAGTACTGTGCATGTTTTTAGTTATTGAGTATTGACTTAACAGGAGATAGCAATCACGCAGAAAGAGGTTTGGAAACCACCCCAGATCAGAAAATTGAGACGGAACAAGAAAAAAAATAGCAAAGGAAAGGCAGAGGCGGGGGATTAATTAACGTGTATGTGAATGCCTATAGCGATAACTAAGATGTTGAGTATACTGAAGTAAATGATGGCAGGAAAAAGAAAAACAATAGCAAAGAAGCAATCTGGTCGCAGAAAACCCCTCGAATATTCGATTGAGAAAGTTGGTGACAGAAAATGCCAAAACCTGTTAAGTTTTGAAACTTTACCGAACGCATGCAATGGAAGATGAGAACATTAGAACATTCTGGGCATCTAGAATCAACAGAAAATAAGAAGGAAAGCAAAAGGAAAAACTCAAATTCCCTCCTCTAGAAGCAAAAGGTGGCATAGACCTTCAAAATACAGAAGCAGAGGCAAAAAAATAAAAACAAAAAAACTACATGCAGAAGGGGAAGAAAATGAAAACCTGAAGCTGAAGTGACACTCAGAGGTGCAATGGTGCGTGTGAGAGACATTTTCGTTTCTCAGATTCCCAGAAATCGGAGAAAATATTCTTCAAAATGAAGCTCTCACAGAATCCCCAACCGCAGAGTCAGGGGTGATCGACTCAGGCCGCATGAGCATTATTTATATGCGCACACGCACACTTTTTTCACGGACCCACTCAGTACGGAATATATCAAGTGTACATTACAACACTCTGTGGGCGTACACATGAATGTATGAAAGCATAGTTATAATTTGCAAATTTTATAATTAGATCCTTCTATTTATTCTCTATCTTAACTTTTTATAAACTATAAATAATGTCTTTAAGAAAAAAATTAAATTAAATTATGAAACTATATTATCGTAGTAAAGATAACAAAATTAAATAAGAATATCTTATATTACTAACTAACTAGCAGTCAAAAATAAAATCAAGTATAAGCTAAATAACCAAAAAAATTCATACATGTCATCTTGTTGTAATAATAAATAAAAAAAATGAACGAGTTAATTTAGCGTTACTAACTAATCATCTGACCAAGATGACAATAAGTAAGCAAGGGGGAAAAAACTGAAATTCAAATGAATCTCCTACATTTATTAAAGTGAATGCAGTCCCAAATGTTCATGTTTTTGTGTTACTATGTCTTTTTATATAATGAACACATTAATTTGAATGCCAAAGGCCACATTACAATTTATGGTATGTCTGTATAGTGGTACATTGTATGTGTTAATGAAGGAAGGCAGTGTTGCACCCCAAAAATGCAATGCGGACAGCGTGCGATAGGAGGTTTCGGCCTTTGCAATGGGAACCAGTTGGAATGAGGAGTCGTCACCAAAATTTTGAGGTAAATCTTGAAAAACCGTTTAAAGGAGGATAAGGATGGTCTATGAAAATAGAAAGTAGGTTTGAGAGTCGATTGAGTGTGGAAAAGGTGTTAGGCATCCCACAACACCCGTTCATCAAAACGATTACCTGAAGTTTGTTGTGCTTTATTAATCTAGTTTTAAAATTATTTTAATTATCCCTTTTATATTTATATGTTTGATATAAAAATGATAAGAATTAAGTGAGAAATATTTATTTATTTACAAGGAAGGACTTAACTCAGAATCCAACTCTAAGACCTACGTACCCTGTAATGGAGATCAAAGTTCACGTAATTTAGGCTTGAAAGTTATTAGTGAAAATATTTTTTTGAACACAAATTAATTAAAAATAATTTATCATTTTGCAAATAAAACAATTTCTGAAATTTTGATATGTGTGTTTTAAATTGCAAAAGTAATTTAATTTTAATTATTTTCTTAATTTTTTAAATTTTTGGAATAAAGGAAAGAAAAGAGTTTTAAAATTAATTTTTTTAATATTTCATGATTGGAAATTTAATTGCTATACCTGCGGAGCTTTATTGGCTCATACAATAATGTAATGGTTTTAAATATCTACAGAGATTCTAAAATTTCACACAATAAAAGAGTTTAACAACTTAATTTATTTATATTTTTAAGTGTTAGTAATAATTTGTTTAAGCATGTATATATATGTTTTTAAAGAACTTTAATCATCATACCTGCAAAGCCTTATTAGCTTATACGGTAATATGATTATCCTCAATATCTCCAGAGATTTCAAAATCTCACACGATAAAAGAATTAAATTTATTTAAATATATTTTAAATTTAATTAATTTAATATATAATTTATATATTTCTTTAAAAAACTTAATCATTATATCTACAGAGTTTTATTGACTCATACGATAATACGATGATCTTAGAAGTCTACGGAGATTCAAAAACCTCACGTGACTAAAAGATATAATCGGTAAATGTGATTACAATTTAAATACATTAATTTAGTTAATTAATTTTTTAAATTGTGTATTATATGATTATTTACAAAAATTATTTATTTAAAATTGAGAATCACTATATCTATGAGGACTTATTATTCCACACGATGATGTGATTAATTTAAGTTTTTATGAAGATTCTTGAAATCTCACAAGGAATTTAAATAAATTATTAATTTAGATTATAAAAAAGAGAGTTAATTTTTATGATGGGCCTTTGAAACCTATATTAACATATAAGTTTTACTCTCATATCTGTGAAACCTTATTAAGTTACATGATACGAGATTATCCTGAATATCTGCAGAGATTCAAAGTCTCACACGATAAAAGGATTAAATAGTATTCACTTTGAATATATTTTAATGTATAATTATATAACGCATATTTTTTACTATAAAAATTTTAATCATTATACATGCAAAGCCTTATTGACTCATGCGGTAGTACAATTATTTTAAAGGTTTGCATAGTTTCAAAAATCTCATATGATCAAAATATCTAATTAGAAAATGTGATTATAATTCAAATTTATTAACTTAATTAATTAATATTATAAAAATGTTTATTATTTTATTTACAAAAATTCATTTATTTATTTTCCATACAAATTGTGAATCACAATATCTGCGAGGATTTATTATCCTACATAATAAGATAATTAATTTAATTCTTTACGAAGATTCTTAAAATTTCACGTGAGACTTAAATATTTATTATAAAAAAAATTAATTTTAATAATGGGCCTTCGGAATCTATATAAATACCTACAAGATTGATTCTTATACCTTTGAAATCTTATTAATTTACACGATATAAAATTATTTTAAATGCCTACGGAGATTCTTAGAACCTCACACCAAAAATAGATAATTAAAATATTTATATTTAGAATTGGTACATAATATTATGGTTGGCTAAATAATTTATGCAATAAAGGCAATGGAAAGAATAAATTAATTTGATAATTCACTATTCTTTCAACTTGAGGATATATTTCAAAAAAAAATTAGATTTGGCATAAACTTTTATCAAGATTATAACTACAATAGACACGGCTCCAAACCACAATCAAGCTCACAAATTATTAATAATATTTTCATCAGGCTCTCTCTCTCTCTCTCTCTTTTTTATCTGACACCTCTCAGGTATGTTCTCAATCCTATATAAAAAAATATTTAATTTTTAAATTTTTTAATCCCTAAACATACATCTGGATTGGTCCATACTCTTAATATCTATCAATATATATATATATATATATGGATGTTAATGAATCCAGATTAAAGGAGATGATATGATTTAAATATTACCTGAGCAACCTGTGATTTTAAACATGCATTCTTCTTCCTTCTCCTCTCTTCCTTAGAGATACTATCATATTCACCGCTGCTAGCATCACTAGATTTTGATGACTGTTTCTTTGCCTTTTTCTTGGATTTCTTCTCTTTCCTTCTATCATGGTCAACCAAGTCAGAGTGAGCATGCTTCCTATGCTTCCTGTGAGCTCTTCTACTGGATTTCTTATACTCATTGTCATTGTCATAATCCAAGTCAGAGCCAGATCAATTTTTATATTTTGTAGCCTTCAACTTCCTCTCTTTAGTTTCAGCATCAACTTTGGCCTTAGTAGCAGCTTCCAGCTTTTGCTCCCACTTCAAAGGAGCCTCCTTTCTATCCATAATTCTCTTCTCTCCTTCCTCAATTTCTTTTTTCCTATGTAGCTTCTTCTCTCTCTTCTGCATTCGTTCTCGTCTCTTCTTCATGTTGCCTCTGTGTTTTTTCTCAGTCTCTTCCTTCCTTGCTTTTCTTCTCCTTTTTCATTTTTCTCTCGTCCATTTTTTTTCTCGTAATCTTTCCTTCTATGCTCAATTTTCTACTTCGTTTTCTCATCCCTGTTTCTCCCTCTTAGTCTCTCTCTTCTCTTCCACGTTTTTCTTCTCCTTTTCCATTTTTCTCTTGTCTGTTTTTTTCTCGTGCTCTTTCCTTTTGTGCTCTGTTTTCTGCTCTGTTTTCTCATCTCTGTGTCTCCCTCTCGGTCTCTCCCTTCTCTTCGTCTCTATTTTGACATGCCTTTTAAAGCAAAAGCAGGGAAAAGTTTGCGTGTGACTAGAGAGCTTACGTGCTTCACCTTTCTTGCTCTGCTCTGCAACGCATGCATGCATCTGATCTCCTTCTACGTTTTTTTGTTTTTCTCTGTGTGTTTTTGACTTTCTCTGCTACATGTGGCCGAGATTTCTTACATCTGCAGAAGCTTTTCCCTATTTTTTTTTTCATTTTTGGCTTTCTTTTCTGTGTGTTTCGTGTGTGCTCCTTCTGCTTTTCTAGTCCGTTACTCTAGTTTTCATCTCTGTGCATTCACGTGTTTTGCTTCCTTTTTTTTTTTCTTCTATCGCATCTGGTCCTTTAGCTTTCTTTTTGTGTGTGATTTCCTATCCTTGTGTGTATGGTGTTCGACCAAGCACCAAGCTTTGGAACCGATGAGCTAAGATTTAACCTATCAGTTTATATATATATATTTTTTTAAGGAAAAAAAACTATAATTCTTTCTTCACTTTTTTACTTTTTAATCCTTTTTATTAATTTAAAAATTAGAAGAAAAAAAAGACAAAAAAATCTGATTTTGAATTAACCAAGCATATATTTTTTTTTTGGAAAGATAACAAAATTTGAAGGAAGAAATTTAAAAGAAGTTAACTCTCAAAGATTAGTTCCTAATATCTTAAATGGTTGGGATAATTTTGGAGATTTTTTTTTGGAGATTTTTTTAAAGATTTAAGTAAAGTTTTTTTAAAGTTTGTTAAAATTATTATTACTTTTTTTAAAATATAATCCTAAAAAGGATTAAATTTTATTTTTATATTTTTAGTTATTTATTATTATTTTTATTAAATTAAAAAAAATACTTGGACAAAATACATTATTCACAGGCAGTGATTTATTAATTGGAGTTAATCATATTATAAATTATAAATGCATTTGCAATGTATCGAAAGATTGTTAGAATTAAAAACAATTATCACCTACTCCCTTTATTAAAAAAATGTAAGGCAATTGTAATTGAATCTTACATTCAATAAAGTAGTTACCTACTTTCAAACTAATCCTATCTTTTTATATTTATTTTTATTAAATACCCTATAATAAATATAAAATCATTCATCAATAGAGCATTTTTTTTTAAAAAAAGGCAATAATTGCACCTTAAAAAACTAAAAATGCCTTATATTTTTGAATATTCAATTACTCAAAAAATACTTTACATTTTTAAATGGAGGGAGTATTTATTTTTATGTGAATTTTTATTTTTGAATTTTTTTTATGGTTAATTTAATACTCCTTCGTGTCCTTAATTTAATGTGAAGTTAATTAACTTTATGCTTATCAAAAAATGATGGCTATATCTTTAAATTTGTTTAAAAAAAATGCGTAACTTTTTCATTTTATCCCCTTTTTTGCAATTGATAACCACAGTAAATTGTTATCTACCAATCCAAATGAAAATAAATAAACAAGGAGTAAACTTTCAAAAGAATTAATTAATCTAATTTTTTCTTATATTTAAAAAAAACTTTCAAATTTTGTCTTATATTAAGGATTGGAGACAGTATACTAGAATGTGTGGTGTAAGCCATATAATTTATTTTTTTTATTACAATAAAACATTGATTCTATAGTTAGAAAGGAACACATTTTAAAAGTAAATTAAAAGGAATATATTTATCTTCCCTATTCCTTGATGTTTCAAAAACTAGATTGGAGGAAAAGTTAACAAGTTACGGTTTTCATAATTTAATCAATTACATTGGTGGTTAAATCATTCATGTAATAATTAATATAATACATAAACATTAAAAAATACTAACAATATGATTCTCTATTCAGAGTAGTTTAGTTATAGTATGTTGCATTTCAATTTTCTCATTCTTTTTCATATGTATATTTTTTATTACCTTATTTGTCCTTTTAAAGAGTTTTTTTATTTCTCTATACTTCATTCATATAATGCCAATAAACAAATCATGCAATCAAAATTTTATTATAAGATATTGATATTTTTTTTCTTTTTTTTTCCACCATCAATAAAATTGACTCCTATTTTAGCAAAAAAAGTTGGTATTGATGTTTTTAAATAAAATAAAATTTTTATTACTAAATAAAAGTAAAAAAAAAAAATTAAAATGATCCAACCGTTCCACCATTGTCCATTTCATCTCAATTCCAATCTTATCAAAATTGCCTAATCTTAAACAAGTCAATTTTTAAAATAGATTAATGAATCAAATCAAATAACTTTTTATATTCGAGTGACAATTCAATTAACTCAACTATCTAAATTGGTATAAGCTTTAAAATATTGATATTTTTAAATGCTGCACACTTTTAAGGATATGCCCCCCACTATTAAAGGTATATTGAACTCTAAGTAATGTATTTTGATAATAAAATTAAAGAGTGAATTATTTAATTCAGCCTTTTTATGATAATGCCTTTTTATATTTTAAGATATAAGCAACCTTCTTTTGAAAAAATGGGAAGTATATTGTTCATCTAAAATAAAATATATTTTTGGAAGGTACATGATAGATTTTTAAAAAAAGATACACGAAAAACTTGTATAATTTTAATAAATATTAGGGAAAGTAATTAGTATACTATGCTTTTTAATTTTATCCATAAGAAGCTTGTGGAGTCATTGAAACTAAAGTCTAAAGCTAAAGAGAATGTTGAAAACAAAAAGAAAAAGCATAAAGAGAATGTTAGTGCATGTACCCGACAAATTGAGATCTTTTAGTATTTTTAATAAAATTTAAATACACACATAATTTAGAGTGATTATATTTATCAAATAAATATCTGCATGGTCAGGGCAAAATTATGAGATGAGACTAAAAAAATGGGACTTGAAATGCAAGTGATGAAAATATTATTTTATTAATTAAAAATAAACATTATCACCGAGGACAGGAAGGAATTACATTAGCTTAAAATCACTCAAAAAAGACACCAACCTGGTATCGATTATATCTTAGACATACCCAACAAACCCAAGCATTAGTAACTTTGAAAAATTAACCTATTGTTACATAATAACTTATCTTATTACTTTAATCAATGTACTGATATTGAAAATCAAACTGGTCAAAACACTTGTTTGGGTTAATAATCAAATCATAATCAAATCTAGTAAAATATTTTATTGAATTGATGACATACTAGTTTAACGGTGTATTAGTTCAATTAAGTGAGTTGACTTGAATTTTATGCTTATGATTTAATAAAGATTAAATTTAGGTAAAAGTATTTCAATTAAATATTCTTATATTTAATCATTTTTTATTTTATTAGTTTCATAATGTATAAAACATTCAAATAATCTATTGTGAAAAAAATAACAATATCAATGTGTTATCCACTTGCTATCACTTAGAGAAAAATACATGTTCTTCTATTTAAGTGTGAGTTTAAACTTCGTAAATGGACAAAAAAATGTCGGTATTCCTACTTTTAATATCATGATAATAAAATTTGATATCTTCAATTCAAATCTTGATTTATTATATTATAAAAAAATTAATTCATTTCACTAGACACATATTTCATTAGTGCACCAACAATTTTTCTATAGGAAACATCTTCGATATCATGAAATGATAATTAGTTAATTGATTAATTTTTTCTAAAATTTGTGAAGGAGATTAATGAATCGACATCATGAGAAATACAATATTCAATGCTAACTTCACAATTAAAAAATAAAGTAGCAGAAAATGAAAATTATCAATGAAAACTCAACAATCAACATCCAACGAATAATGAAACGAGGAAGCGGGTCATGCTTCTCGTGAATAGATTTTTTTGACCTCAAATTTTATTCGATAGATTCAGTGTGTGCTAATTGTTACATTATTTCTATAAATATTGCTTACGACTATTCGCACGCCCGGATGTTTCCGTATAAAATATTGATTGGTCATCCCAACAAAAAAAAAAGAACACTGTTTTTATTTAATCACACGGTCATTCAAAAAAAAAATAAATAAATAAATCACACGGATGCTTTATATAATAAGATCCCGAACAATATTTTTATCCAAATTCATAATATGTCATTTTTAAATTTATATTTTTATTAAACCAAAATGTTTCACGCGCGGGCTGCCGCATAATTCATTAAATCATGCTACAAATATATTGTTTTCAAGATAAATATATAATTCTCAGGCAGATGTAGATAATTCATTTAAGTCTCTTATTTTTTTTTTATCTAACTGAGGTGTGTTTTCTTATACTTTTTGCCATTTTTTTTTTATTAATCATGTGGGATGTTGTTTGTTGCTAAAAAATTTAAAATGAAAGCCCATTCATATGGATAGATGCTAAAAGCCAGATCAATTATTAAATTAATTATGGTACTGATTCAAAAGTTACTAGTAAAAACTGAAGTTAAATCATGGTCACAATTCCATATGAGGCTTCCAATGCGCTAAGCGCTCTCCTCGCTAGCTCGCCTACATGAACACAGGCATCCAGTGTCCCGCACAGAAGCATTTACAAATGATGCAGCTTCCTTCGCGCCTGATAAAGTCCCTTTCATTTTCTTCATTACCAGCTACGCCTACCCTTCAAGACATTGCTTACCAGCAACCAAAAGTTCCAATCTCTATTTCTCAGGTTTTTTTGGATTCTGTTTTGTGGGAGATAGCTGCAATTCTGCTCATTTATTTATGGGGTTTGATTTGTACCACTTGCTTGAGTTTTTTGTGATATTTTAATACACATAGCTTCTGAACTTTTTTTATCCAGTTTTGAGGTCCACTATGTCTCAAAATGAAGAATATTTGATGAACATGATTTCCCCTCTCAACTTATTTATGACTGGAATTTATCACGGGCCTGGAAGAGATTGTGTTGGATTCCAGTTCTTTTGACATTTTAGGAATTAAACATGTTAAGAAGTTTATTGCTGTTGTTTCCATGCCTCTGGAAGCCTTAGCTTAGTTGAACTTCGACAATAGGCAGAAAAATCCCGTTTGCTGAAGCAGCCTTTCGCATAATTTTGCCCCTTCTGGGAATATAATTTCTGGATGGTGTCAGCAGCATTTAGCATGAGTGGCATTTCACCGTTGTAGGGTAAGAAATAGTTGTAGTGCCAGTGACGTAATGGGTACAAGTATAATTGCGATAATTCATTTTCTCTTCTATTATTATTTTAGCTTAAATTGAATTTGAAAGTCAGTATTAAAGCACACCATCATTGAGTCTTTTAACACCATATTTTGTAAGTCTCTTTCTTTACCAATGCATAAATAAAATGAGTTTCTGTCTGTAGCATTTATGTCCCCTGGCTTGGTTGCTTGTGCTTAAGATGATACCAAGTGAAATAAGTCTTCTTTAACTAAAATTCAGGGGTAGTTATCCGCAGTTAATTTATGCAAGGGATATGGGGGAGTAATACTTTTTTAAACTTACGGGAACTATTCATGAATGATTTGACTTTAGCAGGTATTGCAAAGGTTGTACTGAAAAAGGGTAAGTCACAGCTCTTTAAGGATGGAAATCCAATGGTTTACAGTGGAGCTGTTGATAGAATAATTGGAAGACCGCCTCCTAAGACTGGAGATATTGTTCTGGTGGCTGATGGCACTGAGAAGCCAATTGGGTGGGGCATGTACAATTCAGCTTCTATGTTCTGTGTTCGGCTCATGCAGTTTGAAGATGAAGCTACTAGGTTATATATGAGTCCTTTCTGTTTCAATTCAGCCCCTTGATCAGGCCTCTGAGCTGTGTTGTTGATCTTACAGTGACCCATCGTGTGCTTTGAACATCAAGAAATTGCTTGAAACAAGAATAGCTTCAGCCATTGAATTGCGTGAAAGGTTGGGTCTTCCTTCAGCACAGACAAACGCATATCGTCTAATTAATAGTGAAGGGGATAGGTGAGCTTCAGTGATGGTTCATTCTCTATTTAGGTATTAGACTTAAGGATAAAGTATGTTACATCTTAATTCAACAATTACCATCGGTATTTTCCAGCCATTTAAAAGTGTACACTAATAGATGAATTTCATGATTTACCATTCAAACTAACCAACTTGATGAAAATTAAAGTATTATATTGCTGTTAGAGCAATTTTAAGAGTAGATGATTTGTTTCTTTCCATATAACAGCCTGATAATATTAATATTTCTTGTGCATGACATGCAACATGTGAATTGTCCTTTTTCTGTGAATGTCTTCATTTGTGGGGTTTCTTTTTTTGAGTAGGTCCAATCAAATCTAATAACTTATTTTCAAGAAGGTTGTATGCAAGAACTTGAGTTATATTTCACTAGTTCCTTGCAGATTATCAGGATTGATCATCGACATCTTTGGAGATGTAGCTGTAATAGCATCATCTGCTGCTTGGGTTGAGAAGTACAGAGCAGAGATAGAGGCATGCATCTGTAAAATTGATGGTATCAATCACATAAATTGGCGACCATCTCTTGATATCTTAAGGAAGAAGGCATGGATGTGTCCAATTTGAAGGAAATTCATTCATCTACCAGTCCTGAAAGGTCAAAGGTGGACATTCTGGTCATAAGCATCCAAAGTTCACATTGTTCTGCTTGTCAGTGCGGGTTGATTATTTTACAGCAACGATGTCCTGACAAACGATACTTCTACTCCAGCGTCCATCTGTTTGTTACAACTTGCTATTAAGTGACAAGTGCAAAGTAAACCTTGCCAGTCTCTTGCATCCCCACAGGGCCAAAAAAACAAAAAAAAAAAATCCAGATGTTCTTTTTTCATGTATCATTTAATTTTATGACCTTAAGTATACTGATACCTGATCTAATATTCTAACTGATACCTGATCTAATATTTCAATGCTTAGTGATTCCTGACTTATGTTTTTATGTTTGGCATGCTTGTCATATTGAAACTTAGGGGTGTGGGATCCTTATGGTGTGTTGTTCCTCTGTCAGATTATGGAAAACGGAATTTCATATGCAATTTCTCTCCAGGGTCAGAAGACAGGATTTTATGCAGATCAGCGTGAGAACCGCCACTTTGTATCAAGAATTTCAGGTGGACAGAAGGTTCTTGATATTTGCTGCTATAGTGGTGGTTTTGCTCTAAATGCCATACGTGGAGGTGCTGTGAGTGTTACTGGTATGTAAAGTGGCAAGATGGCCCACTGACTTATGATTCTAATTTTGAAAATGTGATCCTGTGGGAAGGATTGATAATGAGTAAACTTCTTCCCTTTGCTCAAAGTCCTTCAGATGTTGCTCTGAATTTCATCTGAGGTGAATTTTTCTCCATGTTTCATTGTAACTTATTCTTGGATAAAGTTCTTTGCAAGATGCACTTGCATGCCTAGGTAGATGTTGACTCCAAAAGACAGGACTGGATTTATTTTAAAGTGCCTCACTGTTTCTACATTTTGTCAGGTGTTGACACATCACTGGCGGCTTTGGAGCTTGCTAAAGAAAATGTTGTACTTAACAATATGGATCCTGAAAGCATATCATTTTTGAGAGAAGATGCAACGGCATTTATGAAGAGTGCTCTCTCAAGAAATGAATCATGGGATATTATCATCATTGATCCTCCTAAACTAGCACCATCAAAGAAGGTATTGACTATTGCAACAAAGGAATATAAATGTCGCAATATAAGTTGACAAAAGGGCTTCTGTTATCTCTAATCAGAGATAAAGAAACCTAAGTGAAGCAAATTGATCTTAACTTGCATTAGGATTTTTAACATGAGATGTTTTTGGATGCGACAATAATAGTATTGCATTTAATAAATACTTAGCTAACCCTTATCAAAATCACTCCAGAAACTATGCACGTCATTCCAATGTTATTCATCTTTTTTCCCATCGTAAAGATATAAATGTTTTTGCATGGTGGGTAAAATCTTCTCTTCTTTTGTTAAGAAATATGGTGTTCATCTCTATCTGAATATCGCATTAACGTGACGTTATGTGTCAGGTTCTGCATAGTGCATCAGGCATGTACAGAAATATGAACTCATTGGCTATGAAACTAACAAAAAGAGGCGGCCTTCTAATGACTTGTTCTTGTTCAGGAGCTGTAGCCCAAAGTGGAATATTTTTGCGGATTCTTCAGGTACTAACCTATATCCTTTGACTCTGATAGGCTTTATTGCTTTATCATCCTTGATTACAGAAATATAATTTAAATTTAAGACATAAAAAGTGTATGGTTTTGGTTCTGCTGTAGTTTATATAAACTGGGAATATGTGATATCAGTAACAAAAATTAAAAGGAAAATCACATATAAGGACCTCTGAAATATCGCAAATAACCAATCAAGACCATGAAATTGTGAAATTAAATTTTATGATCATGGTCCCTTTTTATAGTTTTAAAAATAATATTTTGACTAATGCCCCTATCTAAAATGCCAACTTAAAATTCATTAGTGCTGAAATCATTTTAGTTGGGCTAGAAATTTAGTTGAAGGGGGTTATGAAATCATTTGAAAATGTTTTTACTCTCAGACTTGCAAACTTGGTCACCAGGCAGGGAAATTTTAGTCAAATTATTGTTCTTAAAACTACAAAAAAAGACTGATCCTAAAGTTCTATTTCATAATTTCATGGTTTTGATTGATTATTTGTGAAAATCAAAGGTCCTTTATTTGTGATCTTTCCAAAAATAAATGATACAAGTGCTTTAGAAGTATGTCCCATAAAAATGCCTCGCATAGTTATATATTATACATCATTTGGCTTGATATAAACATGTTTTGCTACATTACATTGTAAAAATCAGTTAAAGTTGCCTGTCAGTAGAAAGTCAATTAAAAACAATATATATATATATATATATATTCTTTCAAAAGCAAATTTGTTTCTCGTTAGGGCGCAGCATCCATGGCAGAGAGAAAAATCACTGTTCTAAGACAGGCTGGAGCAGCTTGTGATCATCCTGTGGACCCATCTTACCCAGAAGGTGCATACCTTTCCAACATCCTACTACGAGTACTGTGAGGATGGTGCATAAGAGGTTCATTCACTCGATTGCTTCCACGTAGTTCTGTATGTATTGTAATTTGGAAAATTGCTCAATATCTCAGGCACAAAATTGTGCTTTTCTCAAACTAACTTAAAAGGCAAAGATTTTCATTGATTCTTATAGCTCGCAAGCAAAGCAATGTAATGTGTGGTTAGAAGGCCTATTGCAGTTTCAAATGCTAGGGTTATTAATTTTTTGGAACTATACTGTAATGGAATTCTCTGTTAACTAGAATCACTCCTGTACAAATGTATGCACGATTGAAACATTTTCAAACAATCCAATTTCATTATCAAGATTTTTCTTTGGTACACATAAGAGGCATGAGCCCAAAATAAAATAAAGATTACAACTGTGATGTGGAGTACTAGTCTCAACTAGAGGACGTAATTCAGATCCATTCAGCTTATTCATATTGGACTTAAAATATCCGAATGTATAAAAAAGTTCATATGTCAAGTCTACCTCTAACATTAGGCTTTTTGGTTTATTCAATTCGGTTTGAATACTCGAATTGTTAAATTTTTTTGAGTTTATTTTAATCTTTGCCCTAAAAACTTGAGAATTTTTAGGCAACATGATAATATAAAAGTAAATGAAGTGACCTTTCCTATGTGAAACAAAGCATTAAAAGGGTAAAATAAAAGTAAATGAAGTGACCTTTTGTGTTTAAAACAACTAGTTATTGAAACATTGAAACTTTGTTTAGGAGTGTGTAAACTAAGAGCTTGAAAGAGGATTTGTGAGTGCAAAGTGAAGGTTGAATTAAAGGTTAATTTTATTTTATTAATTAAAAAAATTTAAGTATTCTAGCTAAACATAATCCGGTTCAAGTTTTGTCCAAATTTCTTCAAACCCATTTGAACGGTAAAAAAAAAAAAAATTAAACTTACTAGCTCTAAAATTTTTTAAACTTATTTGAACTAGCTCATCATGTGACTTAAGCTCAAATTACCAATCCTAGTCTCAACTATGGAGTGGTTTCCATTTGCTTTGGCATGATGTCTTCTTAACGACTCACCTAAAGATGTTCGATGTATTCACTATTTTGCACATTTGCACATCATATAATCAAATTATTTAGTACCGGGTCTTTTTGGATTCTGACCTCCTTAGCGGAAACTTCCCTCCACATTATCTAGAATGTTAGGTCTTAGAATTGCAATTTCTACTGCTTATTCCCTTTTAAGTCAGTTGAATTTAAATAAAAAATCAGCATGATAAATACACAAGAGTTATAGAAATGTGTAAAGCGTTGTGTCACAAGATTTTTCAGGTATTTAATCTCTGAAGGGGCCTTTCAGATGACATGTGGCAGAAGTGGCGAATCATCCAAGAACATGTTTTCCCAAGTTGTACGAGAAGCGACTGTAAGTATAACACATCGAATTCTATTTTCTACGTACAAGTTTTTTTTATCATCCAAGAAACGGGGGGGAAATACAATGCAAGAAGGGGGGAAAAATACAATATAATTTCTTAAGAGCGACTAGTACACAGTAACATAGATATACAAAATTACACCAGCCACGGTAAAAATACACTAGCGCCTTGGAGCCTGTTCAACCAAGTACAGTTTCTCTTGGCTTTAGTGCCCTCCTGGATTTCTATTCCAAGATAAATATGAAGGATCTCCAAGTTGCCTACATAGACACATAAAAGATCAGAAACACTTAAAAAGATATGTCAAGTTTGACATGAACTGGAAAGATAAATGAAAACAAAACATATATTTGCCTACTAATAACCATAACCAGAATACTACGTGCAGATTTCTTTGTTTTTTTCCCCTTTTTTTTTTATTATCCTCAACTAATTTACCCCAAGTCCATACTACAAGGGCAAGCGATTACAACAAAAAGACGCAATTTTGGCAAGCAACAACAACTTGACAATGTACAATTACAAATGCATGATTCTCAATTTTGCATACCCCTTCATAATCAATTCTGGCTCCTAAACTCACTTTTGAAAAAAAAACCACCCAAGCACCCCATTTTTTCACAAACTACTTTTAGGCTCTAAAACTCCATTGTGGGAGAAGCTATTGGAAGCTCCCTTTGATAATTATTTTGAAACTCTATCTAATAATCAATTTTACCCAACTAAAATCCAAACACACGCCAAATCAACTAATATCATCATGCTAGTTTTGGAGTTTAGAAGGGAATATGCAGCAGAAGTTGGAAACTCTTAAGACCTAATATTCAAATTAATCTGGAGAAAATCCACTAAGTTGGTCAGAAACCAAAAAGGTCCAGTACTAAATTTTGCCTATTTGACAGGTTAATGTGGGGACTCAAAAACAGCCAAACCCCGAAATTAATTTACGTGGGAGCAAGTAGTTGGGGATTTAAGTATTTACCTTGGCTTGATAAAATATACAATGGTGAAAGACAAAGCCAAGAAGAAGCACAATCCTCCAACAGTGAGATAAGCAATACCGAGGAAGTCATTCTTTCCACCAAGCCAGCTAGTAGTTGACAGCACAAGCTTCTTTTTGCCATTAAAGCTGTATGTGTTGTAGTTGTTTTCCAGTATCACTTGAATGGAATCACCAACATTCAGATCTGTCTCTATCTTTCCATACAACTTCCTAAAAGTTGGCAATGCAGCAGTCCGCATCCACACAATAAGATCTTCCTGCTCACTTAACTGTTTCATAAAAAGTATTCAAGAAAATAAGCAACTTATCTCTTTGATGCAAGCTACCAATTGAGAAACTCAAGATTAATCACATGATGATAATAGGATATACCGGAAGTAAAAAGGATAGGAGTTATCTGTAATTCAGTCTATATAAATGGTTTCCAAATAATTCCTGCAAATGCCTTTATTTTAAGATTGGACTCATCAAAGTCAAAATGCATGGGTGACTTGTTGGATAAAAGGAGCAGTAAAGCACTACAGGATTGCCATTTGAATGAGCAATTCTATGATTTTTCATTCATCATTATTTTAATAAGGACATAGTGCTCTTAGAATAGAGATTAGCAAATGTCTCAAAAGATGGAAGATATGCAAACACTCCGCATTTTATAAGTCAAGACAGACAAGATATTTGTCCAGTGCAAATTATCATCTCAAGAAAGGACTGATCAAAACTATTACCAGTATAGATAACTGCATTGAATATTGATAGGACTCCAGTATCCATTTCAAACTTTAAGCGTTTCTAAAACTTCAATTTAAAGTTATACGACAACTTGACAAGTATAACAAGAAGAAGAAAAGTAATCATAGTATTAATAGCAATAAGCACAATCAAAAGGTCCAGCGGCAGATAGCCTGCACCACTAAAAGCAAAGTCAAAATACCAAATCGTATCCTTAAAGTAATTTATGATCACTATTGACTTGCACTAAGCTTTTGAATCATGATGCCTTGAGCTGGAATATCTCTATCTGATGCCATATAATAGCCTATATGCTGATCCAATATAACTATATAATAATGTGGAATTCCATTAAAAAGCTTTTAGAATTTTCGTCAATCTCTTTCTTTCAAATCAAAAGGTGATCAGGTGCTAACATTATAGTAAAAACACAAAAGGAATGAATACCCAAAATGCAAGGCATCATGCATCATTACACTGCCCATTCACCATTCTAATAAAGCAACAAAAAATAGACACATACAAGCTTTACACACAAACAAACAAATGCAAGAATGGTCAAAGTCTAAATTTGCAATATGCATATTAAAACAACTTTAAATCACAGTACAGAATCTTGTAAAGAGACAAAGTGCATATCCACATTGATGCTTGATTCAGTCAAAACATGAGTTCAAATAAAGACTTACTGGTATAGTTTCATCAAGACTTGCACCACCTACAAGTGCAGTACTATTCTTGATGTTATTGGGGAAGTTTTTGGGGAAAACATCTTTTCCAAATTTGTGCTCTCTGTCACTCTTCCAAGAGATGCCTTTCTTATTCACAGTCAAATTCCTGTTGTTCAAGGAGAAACTATACGTGTCGTTGAATAAACTCCAAGCTATGAGACCACAAGGCACAATTGCCGATCCATTAAACATATCTTCAGGCTTACAATCACTTGTAGAGCTCTGTTTTTTAGAATCTCTTAACTGCTCATCACTTCGGCTTTTAACATACCTGGATAATTCAAAATTGCCATAAACAAGAACATTGATTTAATTAACATCATGTCTCACTACTAAGAGGGAAATTTTAAGACAGAAACTGATTAATTTTGTCAAAGCCACCAAATTTACAAACTACCATAAAGATAAGATAAATACACAGACAATATATAATGTGGCACATGGGACAAGAAAAAGACCATCTCATGCAAATAGACTCTTCATTTTCAACAGAGTCAGAGCCTAAGATTGACAGAAGCTTTATAAACAAAAAAGGTAACAACTACAGTAGCTTTTACAATACCCACTTTCTCTTCCCCTCAAAATGTTTGGCTGGAGGGGAGGGGAACGGAGGGAAAGGATTTTAATGGAGGGGAGGGAAGAGAGAGTAGGAATCCCCCCAATTTAGGAGGGGGGTTTGGAGGAGAGGCGAGGGAAAATTCATTAAAAAAAATTTCCCTCCTCTCCCCTCCATTTTTTTCCATCCAAACAGTGCTATTGTTCCATTCAGAAATAAATCATCAAAGGGAAAAACTTTGAACATAAAAAACACGAGCATGTGGTTTAAATAAACAAATAGAATGGGCAAACATGTAGCACAACTTGATCAAATTTGTTCTCATAAGTTATATATATCTTTTCGCCCCTAACCTACCTACACTTATGCTGCATGAGTCACAATAAAAATGCTGGAAATTTTCACCCAAAAAACCCACAAAATTAGAGTGGCAAAAACGATAAAAAGCTGGAATTGTCAAGGACAGTTGTAAAAAGCTGGGCCAGGAAATTCTTATTCATTATATATGCCATACATGAAGATAAGATAATTCAGGTACACACCGTCGATGATTCTGGTAGAAGTTGTCCAGCTGATAGTAAACATAAATAGGTGACTTCATACGTTTTTTCACCTTATCATAAGAAAAATTAAAAAGAAAAACATTATGGTGTGAACGACATTACTGAGAACAGACTGAACAGTCTGACAATGATCAAACAATTAAAAAGAGAAATTTCTACCATGGATACTTACTTGTAGAGTCCGGTTGCATGTTTTATCAGCAGAGCTCTGGATGAAAGCTACCTTGTCAGTATAATTACTTGGCACGCATTCAGACTCATACCTATCAACAATTTCAACAACCTGCAGAAAAAAGAAAATCATAGTCAGCATTAAATCAGACTGAACGTAAAAATTCAAAGCATAATTGCACTTGAGCATACATCTCGTGAAGCAAATAGGGAAGCAACTCCAATAGGGATGAAGACAACACTGACAAGCAAGAATGCTGAAATCACCTGCACAAATTGTTTAGAATCAAATAAAGATCCTGTTCAGACAATAGCTTTTTCGTCTAGTCACAAATATCATTGTGGGCAATTCATAAAAATAGGCAGTTTTACCGCTTTTGGCGTAAGAATTGGCTTGCATGCTGGAAGCTCTTGCTGTGTAAACTTTGAATCTGAAAGGGGTAAAAATTTTTGCAAGGTATCTCTTGTCAGTAAAGTTTACATGACAAAAATGCATTTGTTGTTTAAGTAGAATGTGCTAAGCAACTACAAAGAGCTCCACAACCAAGTGAAGAAGCCATATACAAGTCAAATGAAAATCAATATAATGTCAACTCTACAGAAAACCACAGTGAAAATTAGCATAACAAATAGGGACTTCCAAGTACCGGAATTCATTACAGAAAAGAACTATTCTCGTATCCACAAGTTCATCATATGTTTCCCATCAATAGTCTAAATAACCAAATCTATGCCTAAACCATCGGATCAACCAATTACATAATCATAAAACACAAAATAAGTATGGCTGCTCACAGATTCTCGGGGAAAAAACGAATAATAAGGAGAAAAGGCGTAGGAGTACATGAGGTTGCTATGGGAGTGAGAAGAAACAGACTTCATACTGTGACGTTGTAGTAGTTTTTTGCTGCGAATCTTTTATTCAATTGTAAACAAAAAAATAGGGACTTCCATATAATTAAAAACCTTGATATATTAGAGCTTGATCAACAGTTTCAGGCGTCTCAATGTTATGCACTAACTGCTACCATGGCTTATGCCCAAAAAAGGCCACGACCCTACTCTTTTCAACAATCCAAAAATGCATTTTAAGTGATATATACAAGACACACATCAAGAAAACATAATTACATCACAAAGACAGATATGCTAATTTTGGGCAACTGCAAATTAAGCTGAAAAAAAGCAAGATATATGATCAGAAATCAGAAATTACACTTGGGTCGCTTGGTCTGTCTTCTTGCAGTAGTTGAATCAGTAGATCCATTAACTCCTGAGCTCGACGACGCCATTCTCGAATCCGTCTCGGAATCCCTCAAAGATTTCTCCTTTTTGAAAACCCTTTGATTCAAAAGAAAACCCACCTGAGCCGGAAAAGAATCGAAGAAGACGATGACAGTGAAGGTGAAAGAATTAAGAGATGTGAATTAAAGAAACCCTTGAAATTTGGGAAAGTAAATAGAGATATTTGATTATAATGTCGCCGGCTTATAGGAGAGGAAGGTGGGTTTCTTTAGGACGGTATGATTTTGACTTCCTTTACAGATAAAGAAACGGAGCAGGATGGTTCCTGTGGCTGCCGGTCACCCGGTTCCTATCTAGAAAACGAAGAAAGAGCGTAAAGACCAAACTAGAGAGACCAAAGACAAGTCAAACTAATACAAAGCAATTACACGGTTTGGACTTTGGACCCAGTTTTTATGTTTTAAACAACTTTTTCTTTCATTATATAGTGATTTTGAAATGTTCATAATATAAGGAGAAAATCTAGTTGACAATCCAAAAAATTCTTGATGAGAGTACGAAAGGTGAAAGGCCCAAAAGGAAGAAGTCACTTCCGAGATATCTTATCAAAATCCCGAGGCTCATTGAATAATGGGTAAAATAATAAATTTAGTTATATATTATTTTTAAAAAGCATATGATAATTTAAATTATTAAATAGTACAAAATAAATTATAAACTTTTAAAAATGGAACATCAATAGCTCATCATTAACTTTAGTTAACGAACGTTATGTGAAGCCTATAATAACATGTGGTACGATATGTCAGCATGTTAAATGTGTAAATTTAGCCACGAATTAGTTTGAGGAGCATTGGATAACCTCCACTATAAAAAAAACGAACCATCTAACACATTTTTTTAATTTTTTATCAAACACCATTTATTTTCATACTTATCAAACATACAAAAAGCATTAATCTCTCAAAATTCCTTACCTTCATTCTCAATATCAGCTCTAGAAGAAGAGGTTCAATGAGTTCTTATCTGAAAAAATTCAAAAAGATAATGCCAAATAAGTAAAAGCTTGATTTTACTACATATGAGAGAAGCTTGATTCTAACTTAATTTAGTCACGAATTATTTTTTTCTACTTTATTAGCATTATTTTTGTGAATATTTTCAAATAAGAACTCTTTGAACTTTTTCTTTTTGAGCTGAGATTAAGAACGAAAGCAAAAAGATTTAAGAGATTAATGCTTTATGGGCCTCATAAGTAAAAAAATAAATGATGTTCAGTCAACATGAGAGAAAGGTGTTGGACGATCCTTTTTTTACAGTAGACCTTACTCAGTACTCCTTGAAAAATAATTTGTAACTAAATTTGTACCCTTACCATGCTAAAGTGTCATGCCATGTGTCATTATGGGTTTCACATAAACATCCGTCAGTTGAAGTTAACGGCAGGCTATTAGATGCTTAATTTTTAAAAGTTCGTGATTTATTTTTTACCATATGATAATTTAAGCTACTAGATGTTTCTTGAAAAATAGTATGTGGCCAAATTTACACTTTTGTTCTTGAATAATCATTGATTTTTTTGCTTTCATATCATTAATCACTAAATTCAATGTTTTAGGGTTTTTTTTTTATATAAAAATGTTTTAGGATTTGGCTTTGCATGATATTGCTTTTTGAAAAATAGTATGTGACTAAATTTATACTTTTGCCCTCGAATAATCACTGATTTTTTTGCTTTCATATCATTAATCACTAAATTCAATGTTTTAGGGTTTTTTTTAATAAAAATGTTTTAGGGTTTGGCTTTGCATGATATTGCAGTTTTTCTGTCTTAAATGGGACAAGCCTAAGATCTTTGTAATGATTGAAATTTTTTTGTAATTAAGCAGCGTTCTTTTTCTGTAATCATTAATTGCAAAGTGTATTTATAAAAGAAGATGATGAGTATAAAACAAAAGAAAATAAAAATAAAATTTCGTTAAATTATGTAAATAATAATTTACTCTCTTAAAATATTATAATATCAATAAAGTTTTTAGAAATCTCTTTATTAATAATTTTTTTAGAGAAAAATAATTTTATTTTTATTGACCAATTATAATTTTTTATTCAATTATTGTGATTATTTAAAAAAATTATAATTTTTAAAACAAAAGTTGTTAATGAAATTTGTTATTTTGAAAACTTATTTTTAATAATAAAAATTTCACTTGATAAATTGTGTTTTTTTGTTCAACTCTTGTGATCCATAGAGCAAAAGTTGTTATTTCTTAAATAAAATTTGTAATTAAGGCTTATTTTTCAATAATAGAATTACACTTGACAAGTTATAATTTTTTATTCAATTTTTGTGATTTACAAAATAAACATTATGATTCTATAAACAAAAATTATTATTGAATCTTATTATTTTTCATAAAGATAAAGTGATCTTTTTCCTAAGAAAGTTATTGACAAAGAGATCTATAAAAATTTCATTGGTATTATGACATTTTAAGGGATCAAATTATCATTTATATAATTTGAAGTGATTTTATTATCATTTTTCCATAAAATAATGGAAGGATGTATGAATTATATTTCTTTTAAATAAGATTATACTCCTTTCGTTTAAAAATATAAGACATTTTTAATCGAATCTCACCCCAATAAAGTATTTACTTATTTTCAAACTAACCCTATCTTTTCATATTTATCCTTATTAAACATCCCACAATAAATATAAAGTTATTATCGATAAGAACACTTTAAAAAAAGGTAATTATTACATCTTAAAAGATTAAAAATATTTTATATTCTTGGAGATATATATATTACTTGCTTAATGCAAAAGATTCAAATCTCCTTCCACTGCATCGCCAGAAAATCATCATGGATTTGGTCTAGTTTCTTGTCTTCAATTATTAAAAATTTTACTCTCGGTCCAAGAAAATTAAGAATTCTAATGGAAAAATATCGACCAGAGTTTTATTAAAAAATAAATATTTTTGTTTAATGATATTTGACTATAATTAATAATATTTCTAAAAGCTAATAAATGATAGAGCACAATGGCGTCTTGCAATCCATGTAGCCGAATAGTGGGATAAATTGTTGTTGTTGTTGTTGTTGTTGTAAATGATATTTGACTATATATATAAAAAAAAGTGGCAAGGGTTTTATTTAAAAAAAAAAAAACACCGACATGCGTGCATGGTACAAGCGGCCCGGGTTAAAACTTTGTGAACATTCGGGTCGGATCTCGGCCTATAAAAAAAAGAGTAATGTCTATGAATAAAGATGATTTTTATTAAAAGAAGGTATTTGTTGGGCCAAAAAAGGCTCGGCCCATATTTTTGTTGGACCATAACAACTTGTGTGTGGCCCAAGTGTTAACTCGTAAAGTCCATATCCAGTGCCTGTCAATTTGCATGTATTCTAATATTTTTTTAATATGAAAAACGCTGCAAGGAGAAAGTAGAACGTGCTGGGCAGAATCATTTAGTAAATTTTTCAGTAATATTATTTATTTAGGAATTTATTTATTTTTTCTTCCGGTTAGATTTTTTATTTTGAATTTTACCTTTTGTAATATTTTTAATTAAAAAACATTTTGTAATACTAATAATTTGTTGTATAATAATCTAAAAGCTTATTTATTAATCCATTGAGCGGATTATTATTGATACCTGGAGATTATATATATCAGCGTTTCAAATCCTCTAACTCAGTGATTGCTCACTGAGTGTCCATGCTACAGTCATGAGATTTCATTAACGCTTGAAAATTCATGCTTAACAAAAAAAAAAAAAAGAATGCAATGGTAAGTTAAAAAGGCATTTTATGAGGATGTATTTTAACTAATTTTCTGGCCATACGAATCTATAATCTATAATCTATAATATCTTGTAAAAGTCATTGGATGGTATTGTAAATTTACAGTACTTATCTACAGAATCCCATCCGATTTTTTTTTTTTGGTTAATATTTTTAAGATGGGTAGCCATCACTGGTTTAAAAAAAAAAGGGTAATGTCGGATTGGTACTGTAGATATACAGTACACATCTACAGTGCCAATCCGACTTTTTCTTTTTAAAAAAATATTAATTTTTTAAAATATGATATGATAAAAATAAAAAAGATAAAAAATTATGTTAGCCTTACAGTAAAAGAGGTACATGTGGGACCTATAAAAAAATTAAATTGTTAATATCAAATTAAAAATGAGTAAAATATTTTGACATTCCTTTTGTTTTATCTTAATTCATTATACATCTCTTTTATTTTTTAAAACTTATATGAACATTTTTTTTCTTAATATTGATAGTTATAAAATACAAGTCTTCTTCCTGTTTTTAAGATTTTATTTTTCATTTATCTAACCATTAATTGTTCATTAAGTCATATGTTTTAAACTAAAATGCTCCTATTTAAATATAAATATCATAATTAAAAATGAGTAAAATATTTTGACATTCCTTTTATTTTATCTTAATTCATGATACATCTCTTTTATTTTTTAAAACTTATATGAACATTTTCTTTCTTAATATTGATAGTTATAAAATACAAGTTTTCCTCCTGTTTTTAAGATTTTATTTTTTATTTATCTAACCATTAATTGATCATTAAGTCATATGTTTTGATCTAAAATGCTCTTATTTAAATATAAATATTGTCTAAAAATCATCTAAATTGCCAAAAATTAATGTTGTAACTTTTTTAAAAAGTTAAGTATATAAACTGGCCAAAAAAATTCAAAGATACTGTTTATGGACTCAATAAAGAAAAAAAATAAAATAAAATAATTTTTAAAAATTTGAGATTGTTAAACTAGTCTAAGTAAATCTGAAAGCTAGAAGTGCAAGAGTTAGCCTTGACTATAGAATTTTTTATATATTTATATATTTTAAAATAGGTATAAATTGAGAATTTAATGGGAATGAAAGAAAATGTGAGATTATAATAAACTTAATTTTCTTAAAAATTGAAGTAGCGTAGTTTAAAAAAGTAGCATGTGGACCTACAATTAAAAAATGTGAGCGGGGCATATGTTTACAAATTTAAAAATTTAGACAAGGTGTAAAATATAATAATATTTTTACATTTTGAAAGATCATAGTAAAAATAATAAGTGTTAGATATGTAAAGAAATTACTAATGATAAAAAAGTGGGTGTGAAACCTATAATTTAATTAATAAAATTAAATTAGTAATTATTTTTAAAAATATTTTTCTTAAAAATTAGTTAATGGATGATTTTGTTAAAAAAATAAATAGTATAGTTGCAAGGCTTGATAAAAAAGTGGATATGTGATCTACCATTAAAAAATGAGGTTGTGAGACCAACATTTATGCAACTTAAAAATTTAAATAATGTGTAAAAAATATAAAAAATTT